TTAAAGTTACGGTCAGAGTTAGGTGGTGCAACACAGCCTGTCTAAAGTTACCATAATAATGGAGTGACGATAGGTAGACACAAAAAACATTGAAATGGAAGCGTGGACAGTCCTATCCTAAGGTAAATTTTGGTGAAGTAACATGTAACATTCACTACTTATAAGTACCATGGTAGGCACTTGAAGGGACAATTATATTAACGCAGTAGGCATAATATTATGTAGAATGTACTTAAGTGTATTAAGTATGTAAGAATAGACTTTAGAAACAATTTTAGAAGGCATGTCCTGTCTAGCGAGCTTGTAGCATGAATAATACAATTTAATTACTTAATTTTAACATGAATAATATTTATTATGAACAGTTTCAATGTAGGTAGGGCTTAGTCATATCGTAAATCACAGTAGAATTATTTCAATAAGTTGAATTATTCACAAGTGTAGGGCAAAAAGCTGACCTAAGCATCAAAACCCCATCAACTCACAATCTGACTTAGTTTAAAACAATGGACACTGAGAAAAACTCTAGAGAGACTTTAAAAATTCAAACTAAGACAGTAGAAATGGCAGTTCTTTCAAGGAACTGAGTAAACGCCTGAAGTTGCGAACTGCAAACTTGTCAAGTAAACAATTATAGCAAGATTTTTAACAGGTACAATAGATTTTTTGGATTTATTTATGTTAGTTTTGTTTATCGTTAATATAATAGGAGTATGAGTTTATTATTAATTGATTTTATAATAAGATTTTAATTCATGATTCCTGTAATTATAAAGTAAAAATTACTTATTAAGTAGGTAAGTAACACAAGAAATTGAGCACAACGTTTTTACCGTTTGTAATTGTTTTGGTAAGGTTGAGTGTGTATGTGCGGATAAAAATAATCGAATACTTCAATTTTATATGAACAAATAAAAGTCATAAAACTCATTTCTTTTCATAAAATAGGCTTTTAAAAAGCGCCTTTCCCACTTGACCAGTGTGGCCACTGAACCATGGTAGCCCAAATTAAGTCCCGAATAATAACGAAACGCCAAACAAAATATCAATTAGCACTCCCGTTTCAAAAAGTGAAAATACCCAACTAAAACGAGAAAACTATCATGCAATTTAAAATCCAATTAGTAAATTGAATTCTACCGGAAAAAAGGGTTTCTCTGCATCACTTATTCGCGATTGCCAGTTTTTACTTTACTAGATTAAATTTATTTTTAAAACTCGCTTCTTTGAGTGGCTCCTCACGTGATTTTTTGCTGCTGGCAATGTTTTTATCACGATAATTCAGGCAACGTACAGCTTATGAAAAAATTAAATACGGCAAATGAAAATTCTCTATCCACTATGAAAGTAAGCCTTTCATTTTTTAAAAAGAATTTGTAATCTACTCGTAACTACACTAATTTTATAAAGAGGAAAGATTTGATCGTATGTTTTTGTATGTGCGGGCTGCAGCCAGGTACTTCCCGCGACCTTCACCAGATCGTCAGTTCACTTAGTGGAAGACCTGCCCACACTGCCTTCCAGTCCAGCCCATGGTCGCCACTCGAGAACGTTTCTACCCCAAAGGCCATATTAAGCTCTATGAGTTAGGTTCCCTGCCCACTGGCTCTTTTGAGTTTAGGAATTCTGCGGGCTAATTGATCAATAAGAGGTATATTTCAAAAGTTCTTAAAGTATCATAAAAAAAAGTTTCATGCCTTTGTATGGCTCTTATAACATCTTCAAGACAGAAAATATTTTGCTATACAAAAAGAATGCCCGAAAAACATCAATAAACTTGAGTTGTCCTCCAATTCCGTCATATTGCAAAACAGTAACATACATTTATAATATTTGTCGGAATATAACAAAGTGGAGTTTCCGCGTAATTGATCCGCGAGATGGTGCTAGCAGCGGGAAAAATGGCGCGTAAAAACATAAGGGCAGATGTAATAGCAATATTTGTGAGAACGGAATTGATGCAATTTGGGAAACATGTTCCGACAGGGGTGCCTCAGCGAATATTGTGACGAGTGTGTAGTTTTTCATTTCAAATATCGCTTACGGTCTACGCTTTGGCCTGGGTGTAAAAATCTCTCTCGTTAGCAAGTAAGTTTGTTGAATTAGGATTTGTATAATATAAATTACTTAGAAATATTGGGTAATTAAATAGGTATACTGACACAGAAGCGCTCAAAAGATGCGCGTACTTAATTACAAATAAATAATTTTAATTTCCAGCGCCCAACAGGGTCCATAAGTATCTGTACAGTGTGCTACTGTAAAATTTACATTACTATTTTAGAATCAATAAACTTATTGAGTATTGAACATTGGTTAGATAGATAGATGATTGGTCTTTGAACAACACTTTTTTAAATAGAAAACGTTTTTTTTTTAATGATTTTCCTAGCGTCTCACGTTCCTAGTACGGTGGTTGATACCTAAGTATCCTCTACTACTACTACTACGTGTATGATCCGCATAAAAAACGAGATTGTGATTGTACGTATGCTTTCTGATAAAACTTATTACCCTGGTTTTAAAAACGTTCTGTAACAGTTTTTCAGATGTAACAGTAGCAGGATGTAGAGCTAGCTAAAAATAAAACAAACTTAAGCCTTTAGGGTGTTTTTAATAGCGTGCGGATTTCATCACGCACGCGGGATTGCCCTGCATGCGTGACACCCGCAAGTGTAATTTTCATACAAGTATTATTTGTCCTAGCTTTTGCCCGCGGCTTCACCCGCGTGAAATTTAGTGTCACAGATCGGCATAAATTATAGCCTATATGTTAACCTGGGTTACAAACAAATAATACTGTAAAATTTCAACAAAATCCGTTCAGTAGTTTTTGCGTGAAAGAGTAACAAACATACATCCATCCAGACATCCAGATATCCAAACTTTCGCATTTATAATATTAGCAGGATTCGTGGAATACGCACGATATTAAAACATCCTCTCTTGTTAGTGCCATCCCTATTCTATTTGAGAGCGCGCAATATCGCGAGTGGGTTTTAACGCCTTGATTAGACGTCTGCGATACAAACGCAAGGTGCGATGCGATGCGGTGCGATGCGTCGCCTGTGCTTTTTGTAGAAACTGGTCTTTGAAAACTTTTATGGATTCGAACTTTATTACAATTTTTATTAGTAACGCCTCCATTGTTTCTGACGTCCATCTGATTGATAGTAAGTGAGGGAATCTGTCATCTGGTAGATGGTCAAGGATTCGAATCCTAGGTAGGACATAATAAGGTCACTCGCAGAATTTTATCTTCAAAAAATGTTCTTTCAATAATTGATCTTCTCTGGGTTTATAGTGTNGGATGAAAGAACACCTAAGTACAGTATTACCAAACCACCAATTTGGATTCCGAGAAAAACACGGGACGATCGAACAGGTACACCGTATAGTTGACACCATTAGCAGATGCCTAGAAAACAAATTATATTGCTCTGCAGTCTTCTTAGATATCAGCCAAGCGTTTGATAAGGTGTGGCATGACGGCCTCCTGTTCAAGCTAAAGAAGCATCTCCCGCATTGCTTGTTCCGGATACTTAAATCCTACTTAGATAAAAGNGCGCTTCTTCCAAAAAAGTTTATTTTGTTAAGTGGGGGTATTGATATTAGAACTTCTTGTAACAAAATATGTATTGTTTATGGTAGCATGTGAAAGAAATAAAACACAGTCGTTGCAAAAATCTACGTTTGTTTCAATAATCTCGAGTTACAAAAATGTTAGTGTTGGGACATATCGACAAATATCATATTAAATTAAAACCATGGGGTCCAAGCGCTCGTTCCTTTTATAAGGAACTGGCAAAGAGGCTCACCGAGGTGACCGGTGATCAAAAGGCTGGCAGCTATTTCGGCCAGAGAATTAGCCTGGCCATTCAACGTGGCAATGCTGCCAGCCTTTTGGGCACCATTCCTGACTGCGGCGCTGGGGGTGAAGTATTTTTTATTTTGTAAATAGTTTTTATCATTAGTAATTTTTAAGTTATTTTAAATTAAAACTATTTTTTTAACATATTTAAGTAAAGTTATACGTTTTTCTAAATGTTCTCTATTAAAAACCAAAAAACATTTCATTCTTAAATAATCAAACATCGGAAATCAATCACCGGTAATTTTTTGGGTATTCATAGCACCGTTGCTCTAGAAGAGATGCCCACCGCCCTCTAGCGAGAGGAAAAAACCACTGAAGAACACTGATGTTAATGACTACGACTTAGATTGTACACCCTTGACATGAATTTTAAATTTTACTGTCTTTAAATTTAAATCATGATTGTAATTTTTATGAATAAAGATAAATGAAGAAAAATTGGGTGCATTTTTTCATATCATTTTTTCGAAAACTTATCGATACATCTATGTGAACCGTACGAAACATACCCATCACTAGTCACATTCGTTTGACAGCCGTCATTCTAATCAAGCTATATTGGATCAGTGTTGTTCTTGATACGGCAATTGCCGTAATATACGGCATTCAGGCATCTTAGGCACCATAAATACGGTATACGGCAGCACTTTGATTACCGTATCAAAATATACGGCAATTGAGTAAAGTAGAGTTTTATGAGTTTTTCATGAGTTTTAGTAAACAAAAAATAAATATTTCGTCTAATGGAACGCAAAAACTTGTAAACCATAGATGAAGTAGAAGCGCCACGAAAAGAAACGCCAAAATTGCAACCTTATCTCCGAGATTTTAATGTCTAAAATCGTTATTTCCTCATTTTGGTAGATTCTTCACTTTTATTCGGGTAGGTAGGTTCTTGGACTAAATTATTCAAAACCTTAATAAGTGAAGAATAAAATAAGTAAGTTTAAAAGTAGTATACGCATAGTACATAATACATCACTTGTATTTTTTAAAATTTAAACCTTCCAAATAAACATTTTAAACAATACGGCAATTTTCTTACTTTTCCTTAAAAATCCGGCAATTTTAGAATTAGAATACGGCAACCCTAAATTTGTCAGGAACAACACTGTATTGGATAGACTATAGTTCTTCTAAACTTCACCATGAACGAGATCGATGACAAGTTTTACTACGTCTACAGTTCTTCGTTGGACTACAAAGTTGAGATTAAAATGTGCGTGGTATTTTTCTTTGTTCCTTCTATATTTCGTGGTTTGTATCTAAACAAATGTTTCTTTTCTCATGTTGAACGTTTACTTTTGTTTCCAGTGGGACACTAGAAGGGAAGCGGGCAAAGCCTGAGTATGACAGGCTGCTTGAAGATCCTATGCTCAAGTTTTCTGGACTGTACCAAGAAGGTTGCTCAGACCTGTACGTGACGTGCCAGGTCCTCAGTGATGGGGTGCCGCTGGCCTTGCCTGTCACTACCTCATATAAAGCCTTCACCAACAGATGGAAGTAAGTTTCTCACTCATTTAATGTTCTCTTTCCTAAGGATCTTATTCACGTGATATTATCGTGTCTCTGTTCGCGTATGTAAATAGTAATCGATAAATTGTGTAAATAGGGGTATTGATAACCAACTAGTGGGTAGCCAAGTAGGTAGGTATTCTAAAAAAAAAAAAAAAAAATATTATTTCATTTATTTGCTACATCATTATTTGTTACTCATTATTTTACCAACATAAAATAGTGATACAAGTGTAAAAAGTTAGGGCAAAAGTAACTAAATTGTCTTTATTGAAAACCCTTTGCTACATAAAAAGCCATTGTTTTACAACTACCTACATTTTAATATTATTTGATTTCAAATCTTCCATAGTTTTAATTTGGGCATAGGGCACCCAAAAAGTAGTACACAGCTGCATAAACAACTAACTGTGTTTGGTGAAAGCTGTCAATTAAATCATAATTAATGTTTGTAGTTGCCAGTGGTTTGTTGGCATTTTCTAATTGAGACTTATTGCCTAACAGCTAAACTAATCAGGTAATAATAAGAATTCTTAAATTTATTGCTCCTGGGTGTGTAATAATCTTACTTCTTACTAATATTATAAATGTGAAAGTTTGCATGTCTGGATGTTTGTTACTCTTTCACGCTAAAACTACTGAACAGATTTTGATGAAACTTCACAGTATTATTGTTTATAACCCAGAATATAGGCTATAATTTATGACGATCTGTGTCAAACTAAACTTCACACTGGTGAAGGCGCCGGCAAAAGCTAGTTGTTCATATAACCTGCCTTCAAATTCATGAGTTGTCTTCGTAAAATTAAGTTTTTACATAATTTTAGAATGAAATTCTATTTAATTTTATTTATTTACTAATTTAATTTAAGCTGGAACGAATGGGTCACTCTCCCGGTGTACTTCAGCGACCTGCCTCGCGATGCGACACTTGCGATGACCATTTATGACTGTGCCGGGCCCGGCAAGGTGATGGTTGTGGGCGGAACAACTATATCTCTGTTCGGGAAACATGGAATGCTGCGACAGGTAAGCTAAAATTCATAAATCATAAAATTCATTTATTTCTGCAAATAGGCTTTTAAAAAGCGCTTTTACACGTCCCAATATTAACCCTACCACTGCTTCGGGACAATAAGAACTGAAATACATAGATATTCAGAGAATACTTAAATTGGACTCTAAGTCAAAAGAAAAACCAATGCCCAAAAATATAGAGATCAAAAACCCGGATCCCCACCCGGTTTCTAATCCTAACCGTACAAGTAATCGAAACTTAATTAAGACTTATTCAGAAGCAACGAAAACCAAAAAACAACACACTCAACAAGATAAACAGAATGATTTGGGAGACCCTACTGACTTAATGGACATAATGTTTGAAAAACTTCAACATTCAATGATGACAATGATGGAAAAAATCATGGACAAAATGATGGACCGCATGGTCCAGCTATTCAGCAGCCTAGTTAAAAAATGACCCGAAACCTCCAAGTAGTAACTTGGAACGCCAACGGCTTGACGGAACGACGTCAAGAATTAGAAACGTTTCTCAGAACAGAGATGATTGATATAGCACTAATATCTGAAACAAGATTCACACCGAAGACACACATAAACTTTAATAATTATACAGTGTACACAACCAATCACCCAACTGGGAACAGCCATGGAGGAACAGCCGTAATTGTTAAAAGCAACATTAAACACTTCCCTATAGAGGAATACCGAACGGAAAAAATACAAGCAACATCTATTAAACTTGCAGACAACAAACTAGAAACGGTATTCTCCGCTGTGTATTGTCCTCCAAAACATACAATATCTGCCAACGACTTTAAGGAATACTTTTCTACACTTGGTAACAGATTCATATGTGCTGGCGACTGGAACTCTAAACATTTGAATTGGGGATCTAGGTTGACCAGTACTAGAGGAAGACAACTTTGTAAAGCCACAGAAGAGATGAAGTTGGAATGTTTTTCTGGCGGTGAACCTACCTATTGGCCTACCGACAGACAAAGAATCCCAGACCTATTGGACTTTTTTATAGTTAAAAACATAGATAGTAACTACTTAAACATAGAACCAAGAATGGATCTCACATCTGACCACACACCCGTCATACTGAATGTTGCTACAACAGTTAACCTGGTGGCTCCGCCCCTAAGAATATACAACTTGAACACTACAGACTGGACAAGCTACAGAAATATAATCACGACAGAGACAGAACTAAAGACCAAAATTAACACAATAGAAGAACTAGAAAGACAGCTGGAGCAATTTAATATAACTGTCCACAATGCTGCCAATTCTGCAACTCCAAAAGGGACAGGTAAAGGACAACCTCTAAAACATAACTCGTATCCAAAGGATATTAAAGAGAAAATACAAGAACGTCGTCGTTTGAGAAAAGTCTGGCATACTACAGGATATCCAAGTGATAAAGCCGCATTCAATCGTTTCTCAAATGAACTCAAGGCCCTTATCAGCACCCTAGAAAATGATAATATTCAGCGCTACCTCTCAAATCTAACTCCAACGAGAGACACAAACTACTCGCTGTGGAAGGCTACTAAGAATCTAAAGCGCCCGAAAATCCATAAATCACCTATCAATGATGGAAAAGGAGGATGGGCTAGATCTGATAAAGAAAAGGCAACAATCTTTGCGGAACATCTGAAGGCGGTTTTCCAACCACTCCCTGAAAGCAATCCCGAACATAATAGGGAAATCAAGGAATACCTTGAATCAGCGAATCAAATGTGTCTTCCATTAAAAAGTACCAGCCCAAAAGAAATTGTTAAAGAAATAAGGAACCTCAAGGAAGGCAAAGCACCCGGCTATGACCTTATTGATGCCACATTACTTAAAAACCTGCCTCATAAAGGTGTAATGAAATTGGTTAACATCTTTAATGCCAGCTTAAGACTTGAACATTTCCCTGGGCAATGGAAAATTGCACATGTAGTCATGGTACCGAAACCCGGTAAAGCCCCACACGAGGCTGCCTCATACAGACCCATCAGCCTGCTACCGGTTATCGGCAAACTGTTTGAGAGAATATTGCTTAACAGGATGAAAGAACACCTAAGTACAGTATTACCAAACCACCAATTTGGATTCCGAGAAAAACACGGGACGATCGAACAGGTACACCGTATAGTTGACACCATTAGCAGATGCCTAGAAAACAAATTATATTGCTCTGCAGTCTTCTTANCACCTGACATTAAGAGAGTCGTGTGAAATGAATTTTCACACAAGTATGGCTCTCGAAGAAAACATAGTCTGAGGAATCAACCAAAGAAGTGGCTTATTGTTGAAAAAACAGATTGCCATGAAGCAGAATCATCAAAAAAAAAAAAAAAACATAGATATAGCAAAATATTGATACTAAATGGTAGTATTAATTGCCTACTTGGTTTTTGTACAAATTGAAACTAAAAGGTACTCGTTGATAGTAAATTTAAGTATTCAATTGACAAAAGATTAGTTTTTGTATAACATTATTATTCATACTTTGGTTATACTTATAGTTTTCTGAATAAAGAAAAATAAAATAAAAATACTTGCATGCAGTTGACTGCTACCTATTACCTACTAAATACTTATTTGATCTTTGTTATGTATTTTCAATTAGTTGTACGTACATATTTACATTTACCTTCTGGTTTGTATGACCGTCTTGCCTACCACAACTTTGTATTAGTTACTAAACAAGCATTATTAGTTAATTAACTCGACCATTAGATACAGTTAATGAGTAATACTTCAGCATCAAACTATCTTAGTAATTAAATACCTGTTATAACAAGCATTTTGAGAGAGAAAAAGACAACTTTTGCACTCTCAAAATACTGTTCTTACTTTGTCACGTCACTTGTTCTTACTACAAAGTCAATTCTGCTTAAGTTATTCATTACCAATTATTTTACAAAAACCTTAAGGCAACTACCTGGTCAACAAGAATAGGAAAAAAAATAATCCTTTCAAAACTTTTTGACCATTAGCTGACCTGAGTTTTTGTCCTTTTTTTCAACACTGCCCACATTATTGTTGGGTTTTTAGAGGATACAGCACCCTTTATAACAATAAATCTTTATCTTTCACCCAGTAAAGAATAAGTTACATATTATTTTGGCGCTGGATGTCGTAAATGGCGACAAAATATGTATGCGAATTTCAGGCCTGCCCAAACTCTCTGGCAAACATGCAGAGTGCAGTCCAAATTATCTATTTGCCTCTGGTATATTAGAGTTAGTACTGTTGCACGAGATTCGTTTTTATTTTAATATCGCCGCGATATTCGAGGGTCGGTAGTTCGAATCCCGTTATTCACTGGGCCAATGAAGTAGGGGTGGGTCTAGGGTTGCCAGGTCCAAAATCACAAAAGCCGGACTTCGTGTTTCATTTCGCCGGACATTTTAGTGAGTACTATCATCATCGGTTGCTAACCAACATCCTGATGCGTGCGCTTCATATGATTCTGTGGCTCGACTTTCGCCTGGCGCGGCAACCAAATAAAAAGCCTAACAAAAGCCGGACAGGCCGGACAAGGCAATATTTGGCCGGACAAGATCCTAAAAAGCCAAACATGTCCGGCTAAAGCCGGACGCCTGGCAACCCTAGGTGGGTCTAACACAAGCATTTATTTAGCTTACCTACCTTGAGGAGTTAACGGGACTATAATAAATAAGCATTTTTTGATAGAACATTAATTACATTAATAATCGAGGCAAACATTATGAACACGAGTAATAATGTTGATTCTAATGAAGCTTGATCTCTGAATGCATTACATCCCCCTAATATGAGAGGTCTTGACCTCATCAATTATAAAAGGGAAACGCGCAGAATGCATTTCGATGTAAATAGGAATTGCATGTTCCCGCGTCATCAGCTGATGCTCAGATAACCTCTTCTGGATCGTGCTGAACTCGTTAAGTGATCGGTGTATAAAGTACAAAGATCTAAGGGGACTATCCACACACTTACACGTGTAAAAATCTATCTATCTCATCTCTCGACTTCGAAAGTTCAAACATAGGCCTTCTCTTCAACCTTCCACCGACTTCTGTCCCTGGCCACTTGCATCCAGTTTATTCCAGAGTGTCATCTGTCCAGAAAGACGTGTAAAAATATGAGTAAAAAAATTTTTTTACATAGTAAAAGATTATTGGGGCTAAGTAAATATGAAATGATTAATATGTAACGAGCAGGAGAAAAATACAGAGTGTGGTTTTGTAAAACAACGCCCATCTCAGGGGTGGTATACACGACACTGATGCCAAAAAAAAATAAGTAGAAAATAAATAGTTAAAAATTTATTTATATTTTTCTTGTAATTACTGGGCGTTGTTTTACAAAACCACACTGTATATCCTAAACTCGAACTCGATATTATTCCAAATATTCATCAATGGTACATCAGAAAAAACCATAAAAAAATTTCCTATCTCAACATACTATCATCTTGAGTTCTTGTTGAGGCATTCGCTGTATTAATTTGACTTGGAAGGAACATGTATCTAGTGTCTGCCAAAAAATTAATAGATTTGCGTTTGCCTTATACCGCCTTGCAAAAATTAGTGATCAAAAGACAGCACTTGCTGCGTATCACGGCTACGTCTGCTCAAATTTAAGATATGGTCTTGTTCTGTGGGGAAACTCGGTCGATATCCAGCGTGCCTTTTTAATTCAAAAAAAGTGTCTGAGAGCTATTTGTGGTGCTGGGCCAATGGATTCATGTCGACCAATATTTAAAAAACTTAATTTGCTGACATTACCATCAATGTATATTTTTGAAATATGTATATTTACTAAAAACAATATTAATTCTTTTCAAACGAAACGAGAGATTTGTACATTTTTTACACGGTATCCTAATCGTTTGGTGGTACCGTCTTGTTCAACGACGAATTTTCAGAGAAATTGCTACTTTATGTCTATAAAACTGTACAATAAACTTCCGGACGCAATGAAGGACTTACCCACTAAGCAATTTAAATACCAGCTTTATAAATTGTTAAGCGACAAATGTTTTTATAGCATAAATGAATTTATTAATTGCAAATTTTAAAGAAATTGACACTGTTTTTCTATTATATTTTTTTTTTTTTATCGAAATGTATTTTGTTTATTATTATTGAATGTATAATATCATCATTGTTAATTAATTAATTATTTTAGTTGAATTTTTATAGTCTTAGAGACTTATTTATTTGGACATAATTGTGTGCTTTCTGTTTCACTGTATGTTGCATGCCAATTGTCGTTGGTTAGATGTGTGAAACGAACATTCATTGTTTATCACTACTTTGTACCACATTTACCGCAATAAAGAAATTCTATTCTATTCTATTCTATTTTAGATTTATTTCTTTACTTTGTATTCATAAATAAATATTTATGTTTTGATAACCTGCAATATTTCTCGAACCCCCGTATCGGAGCCTGCATACATATGCGAACGCCATTTAAATAAGCGTCTTGTCAACAAAGCTATTTGGAATTTGCCACTATCTCTACCCCTTCAGTCTCGTCTCACACACACAGCCATGTATACCTATGTGATCTTCAAATTTTTTGTGAAATTATCATCAAAAAAATGACTTAGTGCACTGTGAAGTTTACATTTCAACTTTTTCATTGCAATTTAAATATCATTGGCTGGAAATATTTTTGTTTTTTTTTTTTTCTAAATTTCTAATTCCAAATTCAAAAATGGGCGGTGCGTTCAGCAGCGGAAGGTTATGGAAGAAGTACTTCTCGTTCTTAAAGTTTCGGTTGAGTAAGGTTCGTTTTCGCTTTGTCCACAAAAAGGGGATGTTTGACCTGCGTGTTTGGCCGGGAGTGGAGGGCAGTGAGAAGACCCCGGGCAAGGCGCCGGACCGCGGCAAGGAACAGATGCAGAGACTGGCCAAGCTGGCCAAGAAGCACAGGAATGGACATATGCCGAAGGTAACAAATAACAATATTTTTATATCATGAAACAAATGACCTAAAGTTCATCTACACTGAAAAAAAATTTTGGTTACTGCTTACACAACAGTGACCACCGAAAACTTTGGTTATGAGGAACAAAATGTTGTGTAAATTAAACAAATAATTCTGTAGTGAGCTAGACTTAGTTTGGTTATAGGTAGTTAAAACTTAGTTCGGTGGTCACTTTTGTTGTGTAAGCAGTAACCAAACATTTTTTTCAGTGTACCTCCGGTATCTGAATTGAAATTTTGATCTTGAGAGTGCTCATGAACTTTCATATTAAATTCGTACTTGAGTAAATGAACACACTCGAGCCTATTCAGAGACTGGGCCATGGTCATTCGTACTAATAAAATCGTAACTTTCCAAAATATCTATTGTCCAAAAGTATCGAAACATTTGTTTGTCAACAAACAAATGCTTGTTGTGTGTTTCTTCATAGTTTTGTTTTCTCGTGTAAAATAAAAAGAATTTCGATTGCCACATTTTTTATGACCTCCCCTGCCATTTCACCATTTTCTCATTAATTTCTATTTGGAAGGATTGTTTTATATTCTTGGACATGGAATAGAATCTTTAACACTTTGAACCTAAAGTCGAAATTTTATTAACAGGTGGACTGGCTAGATAGATTGACATTCAGAGAGATTGAGATGATCAATGAAAAAGAAAAGAGAAGTTCCGACTACATGTATCTCATGATCGAGTTCCCCACTGTTCAAATTGACGGTATTAATGTAAGTATCTTTTGGTAAACTAGATCGTAATGCTGTAGTTATACAGGGTGTTAGGTAAACGAGTATATGAGCCGACACTAGCCCATGTTAACATAGGCATATAAATGGTATGGTGAAGTTAGAAATTTGATATCATGATTATTTTTTTTTAATTTTCGTACAAAATAAATTTTACAAAATCCGATTTGTATGAAAATTAAAATAGTTAAAATGAAGATATCAATTTTCTGACTTCACCATACCTTTTATATGACCATATTAACATGGGCTAGTGTCGGCTCATATACCCATTTACCTAACACCCTGTAGAGTTGCTTTTCTACTGTTTAAACTTACTGCATAAAGAACCCAAACAAATGGCTCTAGAGATGGGCGTGTCTGTTCTGACGTCAGGATCCCCAATATGGCGTATATCAAGCATAAGAGTGACGATAGTTGATAACCCTGTAACCCTTTTAAATGAATCAGACATGTTGATATGGCATAAGTACAATAATAGCAATTAAAATAATAATAACACCGAAGAAACAGCCTGCAGGCAGAATCAACGTGAATTGAAAAAAACTTACAGAACTTAATATTGCTTACATTTTTTCACTAAAAAAATCCTTATCGTTTTTGTTAAGAGCGAAAATGAAGAGTTCAGAGAATTGGCGTCTTCGTCAAAAAACATGTTTATTGCTATACTGTAAATACTTGAAAAATTATGGAGAAAATGGCATCACCAGCTCCAAAAACAATATACAAAGATATGCTTATTCGGCCCTTTCAAAAACACGGCGCATTTAATTTGGCAGGAATGGCAATGACGAAAAAAGCGAACGGAAAAAAGCTCTACATTTAATGAGTCGTTTATGAACCGAATATGGAAGCTGACCAAGTTTTATATTGCAGCATGCTGTGGTGTACTACGAGCAAGACGGTGACGAAATGTACCAGTTTAGGGCGCAGGCCGACATCGTTACAGTCCCCGATTATGAGATAGGACAGGTTTGTACAAAACTATAATTTCTTCATTTGGTTTTTTTTATTTGAGACTGATTTTACTAACCAAACTATGGACTGCTTTTGTCTGAAAATAAATGATTTTTATTTTATTTTATTTACTATTTTTTATTTACAATTCTTCAATTTAGTTTTAAAAAAGAGCTTGCTTGTTTGTATTTGTTTACCCATTTCTCCAACACTAGTGATTAGGTTGTGATCCTTATTAAGTAAGACGCCCACCTGATCGATGGATAGGAGCCCTCAAGAAGATGACTAGCAGCTGTTGGATGAAAAAAGTAAAATTACAACTTTCTGCTTTTTTGTGACACTCCTTGGCGTCCAGCAGTGTACCGTCACTGGCTGAAATGATAATAACGATGATGTTTTTATCTTACTCAATCAGGAGAACCTAGTAGAAGCGAAGCAGCACCGTTTGGCACGGTCGCTCCGTGCGGGCGGCAGCGGGCGCGATGCCAAGCCCACGGCGAGTGAGCGTGACCACCTCGCCGCTATCGTGGCGGCACCACCAGGCCAACCGCGAGCCGCCGCCGACCAGGATGCGCTGTGGAAATTCAGGTAGGTTGTCTTCCACAGCTGGCTCTTAGGGACACGACGCGAGGCCACGAGGACATGGCACAAGCTTATGGGGACACAATGCGAGCCCAAGGGGACACGACGGGAGCCTATGGGGACACGACTCCAAGCCTATGGCCAGTGAGCGCGACCATCTCGCAGCTATAGTGGCGGCGCCGCCGGGACAACAGCGCGCCGCCGCCGACCAGGATGCGCTATGGAAATTCAGGTAGGTTGTCCTCCACAGCTAGCCCGTAGGGACACGAAGGGAGCCTATGGGGTCACGACGCCAAGCCCACGGCGAGTGAAAGTGACCACCTCGCAGCTATCGTGGCGGCGCCGCCGGGAAAACCGCAAGCCGCCGCCGACCAAGATGCGCTCTGGAAATTCAGGTAGGTTGTCCTCCACAGCTGGCCAGTAGGGACACGACGGGAGCTTATGGGGTCACGACTCCAAGCCTATGGCCAATGAGCGTAATCATCTCGCAGCTATCGTGGCGGCGCCGCCAGGACAACCGCGAGCCACCGCCGACCAGGATGCGCTCTGGAAATTCAGGTACGTTGTCTTCCACAGCTGACCCGTAGGTTCACGACGGGAGCCTATGGGGACACGACGTCAAGCCCACGGCTAGTGAGCGTTACCACCTCGCAGCTATCGTGGTGGCACCACCAGGCCAGCCGCGAGCCGCCGCCGACCAGGATGCGCTCTGGAAATTCAGGTAGGTTGTCCCCTACAGCTGACCCGCGGCACAAAATTTTGTGCCCGCGGGGACACAACGCGAGCCCAAGGGGACACGACGCGAGCCCGCCAAAATACGAAGCGAGCCAGCGAGGACAGGACGTGACCCGCGGAGTCACTATGCGGCTTATTCCACTATTCCCCGTTGACAATCCCCGTCAACGTTAACGCCAATTAGAGCTTATAATGGGGAATAATGAACTAAAAAGTTCATTAATGCCCGTTGTATTAGGATTTTATTTTTAACGTAATGGGGATTAATTAACATTTTAGTTCATTATTCCCCATTAATAAGTTCATTAAGTTCCAATTGGCGTTAACGGGAATAGTGAACAAAAAGTTCACTAATCCCCGTTGACGGGGATTGTCAATGGGGAATAGTGGAATAAGCCCACTACGCGAGCCCGAGGGGACACTAAGCGAGCCCACGGCCAGTGAGCGCGACCATGCAGGATGCTCTCTGGAAGTTTTGGTGTGCTTTCTTTTTTTATCCGTCATTTGTTTTATTGTTATCTTTTGTTTTTTATGTTCAATCTGTATTTTCTATCGCGCTCAAGAACTTCAGCTGTATATCCGTCATTTGTTTTCCTGATTGTTGTTTTTTTTTATGTCCAGTCTTTCTTTCGCGCTCTAGATATTCAACTGTAACTGTGTCGTTTTTACACCTAAATTAATTTAGTTTTTTTAATATCTAATCTTTTTTGTCTTCCACGCTCCAATTTATTTAGGTGTAAAGTTTGTGAATTATAAATAAGGAATAAGTAAGCTACAACTAAAAAAAAATTCAAATAAACGCATTGTTAAGGCTTTGTTCAAGATTAACATAAACATTATTGTTGCAGATTCTATTTAACATCACACCGTCGGGCTCTCACCAAGTTTTTGGAATGCGTCAATTGGAACAGACCAGGTATGTAATTGTTTATTTTAGGACATTGCCATAGCTACAAGAGTTCACCCACAAGGTGAACAGATGACCTTGTAAAGTGCTGGACGCAGGCCGCTACTAACTGGCTAATCTGGCAATCATTGAGGGAGGCCTATGTCCTATCTTCAGTCGTCGTGTGACTAAAATCATGATGATGATGAACAAATCTTTCATCATCAATGTAATCTCGTGATTACTGAGTATATTGTGAGAAGTATGGAGGTAAGTCGCACCTTAATTTCGAACTCCTCCTATGTTCTTCTGATTAATTTCGTTGCGAGTCCAATGACAGTTTAACTTTCCCTTGGGACAAACTTGACCTTCATTGGTTTGGTTATTGTGGCGGTCAAGCTGTAGATCCTGGCGACACAGGAGTTGCAGTTGTGAGAACGGGAGGTGGGAATAGTCCCGTTACTGAGTATATTCGAATTTCTAAGGTGTATAGTCAAATGTTATCTTAGACCAATTCTCCGACGGTAATCTAATAAATAATACGTCTTAAAAATTAAGATAAGTATTATTTTAAAACATGTACTTTATTGCACGATGTTACACAACCAAATATCGAGTGGTTTAAGAAATACCAATAAAAATGGAATACTAACTGGTTCCACCAAGAAAAACTTGTTTTACAAGTAAAGATTTAACTTGGACATTATGCAGATGAACTTTAATAAACATGTCACTAATACCGCCTTATGTTATGTTAATAAGTAGGTTGTTTCACACGTTTCCAAATAAATGGGAATATTAAATACACCTACACACAGTGCTGTTACTAACTTAGATTAAAGTTTTGTATAAGCACGTGTTTTCGCTCCATCTATTGTTATGAAAGTACAGTCATCATCATCTTATCAGCCATAGGACGTCCACTGCTGAACATAGGCCTCCCCCAATGCTTTCCATGTTGCCCGGTTGGTAGCGGCCTGCGTCCAGCGCCTTCCTGCTACCATTGTGGTGTCGTCGGTCCACCTTGTGGACATATGTGATAGTACAGTAATCAGAAGAAACTAGGATACATAAATCTTTGTGGTGGATGAACAAAGATAAAAGAACTTGTTTTTCTATTGTTTCCAGTACATTGACGATAAAAAAGTTAATCAAAATTCAAACAAGAGCTTGACCTACAATAATCATAAAAAAATGCAGCGACTGCATAAGTTTGGTGGACGCAAGCGGTGAATGTCGCTAAGCTATTCATAAACCAAAAGTACTTACACAGTAACACACACATTGTACATTTTCAAAATTAAATAACTTCACAAAAATGTCATTAAGGGCTGATTTTTTAATTGTCAAATAACTTTTAACTGGTGAATAAACTTGTCATTTTGACATATTTCCCATACTGAAACTGTCAATGTGCCAAACTTATTCTTCAGATAAAAGTTATCCAACGATTGAAAAATCAGCTCTAAATAATATAATAAGCATAAATTGTTAACATAATATGCATATCATCAATTAATTAGCATCAAAAAGCCATTGGCTAACGAATACTTCGCTTTATGATCAAAAATATTACTTGCAGGCAGACTTCAAGGTCTTCCAGCAATTTTAAATTCTCTTTTTACATGTCCTGCACCACATTTTACAAGTTTTTTAAACATTTACCTGCTAAACCTTTGTTTGTCGCTTGACACTAGAGGACAATCCAATAATAAGTATGATTAATTTAATTGCTAATCCAATGACTAGTTTTTCTAGTGCATCAATTTATTTATGTATTCATTTTGGTCAATTTCAAATACTTTATCGTAACTTTTGATAAATCTAAACCGCTTAAGTTAGACGCTTGAAATTAGGCATGCAGGTACCTTAGTAAACTTAAAGCTTAGTTACAACAGGATTTTGCATAATTCCCACGGGAACGGGAGTTAGCGGGAAAAAACATTTGTATGAAAAAATCTAAACCGCGTAAGATAGATGAAGGGGGTAAAACGAGATCCACGCGTACGAAGTCGCGGGTGGCCGCTTGTCGCATTATATTTGTCGATGATGATTAATAATATTAAATCACTATTCCTGTGTGTACTTACTAAGTTACTCTATTATTATTATTGGTTTTTTGTGCCTTTACTTGCGCCAACTCGACCAGGTTTGATCTATTGTGGCAGCCCTTGTCTTTAGAGTTCACTGCTTAGTCCCTTAGTAAGTTACTCTAAAGAAATGTTCTCCAGTGACTTATCAGAATACTACAAGTGTAATCAATTAAACATATTTCTAAGTTTTAATAGACGAATTTTTTTATTTAGACCGTCTGCAGTACCCTAATATTTATAATGGCACAAGCCAATAGACTTCTTCCGGGCCTTGTCACTCCATGAGGGATCATCGCCCTGATCACATTTGGCCTCTACGTTGAGGTCGGGTCTATTCTTGATAAAAATCTGTACAGACTTACATACGTTTATCAGAAACTCTTAATAATCCTTTCACAACTACACTCGGCATCAAATAAATCGCACCTCCCGCGACAAGCACTTATCAAACGTATGCATCCCCACTTCCCACCAACATTGGTACCATTTGAAAGCCTAGTTCTAAACTTCATTTCATTAAAGGAAAGGTTTTTACCCCAAAAATGTGTCTTTACAAGGATCCAGAGTCACTTCTTCAAAAAATAGGTAGTTACGCTATAGCCATTTTTTATGACTATAAAACTGTTAAGTTGGGATTAATCGCTATCCATCTGCTAAAGAGGACACGTGATATCTTTATTTGGTTTTATAACCATAAAAATTGGTCTAATTGATCCCAGAGGTGAGCCCAAAGTGAGGTCTATTTTCAAGTCACATTTATGGTATATGTTAATCATTTATTTAGAAATGAAATGTATTTTTCTTTAAGGATATTTATTGGGCTTTCAAATAACACCAATATTGTTGGGGTACCATAATTGTGTCAGAAGAAAATCTTTAAAGTTCGCGTCGCGGAAGGTGCGATTTATTTGATGTTGAGTGTATGTTGTACTAAGCTGCCATAAGAACGATAAAAACTACGCTAATGTAAATCATAAAGTTATGAATATGTATGTTATTATTGCATTATTACTGCATTAAACCGAAATGAATGGGGCCGGCAAACTGGTTTTACAGCCGATAAGTAGTTTTAAACTAAGTTCAAGTTAGTTTTCGACAGAAGTTGGAAGAATCGTGCGTGTCGATGTAATTTGTGAGACGTTTTCGCGCATTTTTTAAATTAACAAATTGTGAATAACTGTGAGGTACTTTTTAGTGCATTGTGTTTGAAAATTATAAAGTGTGAAGATTTCATTTTGTGCCTAAACTGTGAAATGATTTTGAAAGTGAATTTTAGTGTCAGAATTTGCAGCCAGTATGGTTTTGTACACGAATAAGTGTGTCGAAAATGAAAATGGAGGTATTGCGATCTTTTCTTTAAAATAAGTATTTTTAGCAGACGCTTTTGGTAACATTCATTTGATAACAACATTTAAGCCTTAAATCTATACAAATATTATAATGCGAAAGTAACTCTGTCTGTCTGTCTCGCTTTCAGGCCTAAACCACTGAACCGATTTTGATGAAAAGCATAGAGATAGTTGAGTCCTGGGAAAGGACATAGGATAGTTTTTATCCCGGTTTTTGAAACAGGGACGCGCGCGATAAAGTTTTTCTGCGACAGACAAGTTTCCACGTGTGCGAAGCAGCGGGCGGAAAGCTAGTATTTAATAAAATCTATATTAAGCCTAAAATTTCACGAATAGAAATTGATTATGTGATTTAGGTTTGTTTGGATTTCTTTATTTCGGACAGATTGCGATTAATTGGTTCAATCAAAGACCTTGTACAGAACGGAAATGAACCTCGCAATTATTTATCTACCTACCGGCACTATTGCTTAGTTTCTGATTTTTTGTTCTTTTAAAACTAATTTTTATTACTATGCAATCAAAAGTTCAATTTTTTTACATAAATGCAATGCATAATCACGACTTCGTGACTTTCCGGCTCCTTGGTATTTAAATTATAGTGCCCGAGTCACAGAGAAACATAATTTATATATTATCATATGATATAATACAATTTTTTTATGCAAGACAAGGCCTACTTTGTCCAGCAGTGGACGTCATTTAGGAAGGTATTCCACACGCTTAAACCAGGAATCAATACTGCTACTATACGCGAGGTAAACTTGACCTTCACTGGTTGGGTTCTTATTGGAATTCAAGCTGTAGATCCTGGCCACTCAGGAGTTACAGTGGTGGGAACGGGAGGTTGAAATAGTCCCGTTATACGCGAGGTCCGGAAAGTGGAGAGGAGAGATGAAACAGATTTCGTTATTTCGCTCAGCCTTGGTTCTGAAAACTGATTGGTTATTCAAACACATCTCATATTCTTTCCTCTTTGGTAGAAGCCAAGCCTTAGGGCCTTACAACTGGCACATAACAAGCGTTTTAGAGCGAACACGAGGCGAAAACTCTAGGCAGAAATGTTGTACAGCCGCGACGTCTTCGCTGCGTCGCCGCTCCGCTCTGAAAACGCTTGCAATCCACCAGTGTCTCACTTCACGCCAGCTCACTTCTGGGTCATCATATGATGTGATGATAAATATTGTTTGTTTGCAGGCGAGGTGCGGCAGGCGCTGGCGATGATGAAGCAGTGGACGCCGATGGATGTAGAGGATGCTCTCGAGCTACTCACGCCCAAGTTTACGCACCCAGCTGTCAGGAAGTACGCATCTTTGTCTGTCATCACCACCGATTTAATGGTGATGATACTGTCATCACCATCACATAGCATCTGGCTTGCTAAGGGCGTCCGTCAAACCCTTGGATCTAACAGCTAGCATGCATCTTGCGTCTAGCATGCGATTTTAACAAAATATGATGTGACGTTTGGTGGAAATTTTTTGTTAATACTTTTCGAAACTACTGCTAAGAATAATACTATTGTAACTAGATCCTTTTCTTTCCTAATCCGTCTAAAGCTCGAACCCCACTGGAAGTCTCGAAGAAAATGTATGAACGTGCCTAATAATAATAATAATAATAATAAATAATTTATTTCAGACTTTCATCCATAGTTTGTTAGTAGGGATTAGTAACAATTTTTCCTTATATTATGTTAGTTGAGTTAGTGCACATTACTTTTAGTTTTTCATTTTATTTGGCCTACAGATAAAAGCCTAAAGACCTAAAAGCGCTACAGTTTCTTTGAAGAAGTTAAAAGGTTTGACCTAAAAAATCTGACCCAGAAGCTGGATATGACTTGCCACCTCCTAGGCCAGCTGGGTACGCCCATACTCATCCGTCTATCGTTCCTCCGGATATAGACCATTTCATCCCAGAACATTTTAGTGTAGATGAGCTTTTAAATAATTCGCATGCATAAAATTTTACATGGTGGGGACTTTTTTGACCATCATCCTTTTTATTGTAGATACGCCGTGTCTCGCCTGAAACAAGCCCCTGATGAAGACCTACTGTTGTACCTACTGCAATTGGTGCAAGCTCTGAAGTATGAGGATTTCTCAGAGATTCATGAGGGTAAGTAAACATGAACTATTATGACTTAGCGTTAGAATTATGGTGCCGTATTACAAAAAAGTTGTACCTGGTTTGAAAATTACATTTGCATACTACATTTTAATTTAAACTAGTGATCCATGCGTGTCTGGTTTGCATCGATTAAATTGATAGCTGGATGTCCTTTGTAGAGCCCAAAATATCTATGTCATTTACTATTGCAAATTGTTACCTTTATCTGCTGCTGTCTCTCCTGGTTCCAGACAAGTTATTAATCAATTTCATGCCTTATTAAATAAAATAAATATCCTTGGACATTTTACACTGCGCCGCTAGCCCCAAACTAAGCAAAGCTTGTACTATGGGTACTAGACAACGGATATAAAATTCATCATTTCAATTTCTGCCCGGCCGGGAATCGAACCCGTGACCTCTCGGCATAGTAGTCCGTTCTGAATCACTACACCAAACGGCCGGTTATAGATCCAAATGACTTGAAAAATTAAAATGGGGTACATTTCATCAATTGGTTAAACTACGTTTCTGAGAAGATGTTCTTTGTTTTCAACAGAGTACATACGAGTATGCGGCAAAGACTCGGCCGTGGTATATTCGGACGCAGAAGGGAAGCTCATGCAGAGCGGACACAGGGGCAGCCAAGCTAGCCTGCTGTCCACCTCAGGTACAGTTAAGATGTTATTTCTATAGTCTGGTCCGTGAGCACGTAGAATTTTGTCCAATGACCCCTAGCTACCCATCCTTATCTATCGCGCGTAATTATGTTCCTGTCGCGCTCGCACACTCACTGCGGGCGCCCGTCGCGCAGTCGCGACAGCAATAATTACGCACGAGCTATAAGGATGGGTAGCTTGGGGTCATTGGACAAAATTCTACGTGCTCACAGACCAGGCTTTACACAATTTATTTATTTGACGCCTATGGCTACATCAAAATTGATACAATTAAACCCGAATACAAGATGTTCCATTAGTAGTCAACTAAAAAAAGGTGCTAGTCACCATCAATCCCCAATTTTTAAGTGACCCCTATGGTATCACAACAGGAATTTTGTTTTCAAAGAGGTCACTTAAAAACTAGGGATTGATGGTGAAAACGGACATGATTCTACTACTGCTCAAATGCAACAACTTTTCCCCAAGAGAATGAAGTTAAAATCTTTAAAAAAACCTTTCTATACAACTTTCATCAGCAAACAGTCGTCATAATGGGGAATAATTTATTTAAATATTGGTCTTGTAGGAAAAAATATGTATTTGAGTAGTAGAATCAACCTTTTTGTTTGGACACCTACCAAAGAACCCTGTTTAACACTGTTGTAATCTATTCTTTCAGTATTGACATCCAGCGAGATGACGTCATCGGTAACAAGTCGGCGCTCGTTAGACGCGCGGACGGATGACGCGACACCGGCGGAGGAAGCCACTAACGACAACAGTGTGACTGACAACAATAATATCTTCGCGTGAGTCTGACATCAAAGTCATCCTTTCATAATAATAGAAAATATGTAAGCTTTTTTATTTAGCATCATCCAATCACTCAATGATTTTCTACAGACATAAAAAATTTCGTGACGTCACTCCACACATTAGAAAACAATACGCCGAGTCCCATATATTACGAGTTGCCATGGGCGCGTGTCATATGACGTCACGCACAGGTAGTTCTATACAAAGTTTGAACACGTCTTTAGTAATCGGCAACCAGCGATTCTCGCGAGTTCGCAAGACGCAATGCGACTGTTATAATGTAAAGGTGTGTCTCATTACTCCCATAATTTATCTCTATAAATAAAAATGAATTGCTGTTCGTTAGTCTGATTAAAACTCGAGAACGGCTGGGCCGATTGAGCTGATCTTGGTTTTAAAATGTTTGTCGTAGTCCAGGGTAGGTCTAAACGGTGAGCAAATAAGGAAACATTGCGATAGCTTATTTATTGCCTTTAAGGCGGAACAGAGTTTGCCGGGTCAGCTAGTTAATTATAAAAATAATGATTTTGTTTTTTGCAAACAAAACTGTTTTTGGCTCTCCTATCCTATTATTCTATAAAAGGTTGCCGAGCCCTGCTTTAAAAACTCATCATTTCAGCCACAGGACGTCCACTGCTGAACATAGGCCTCCCCCAATGCTTTCCATGTTGATCGATTGGTAGCGGCCTGCGTCCAGCGCTTCCCTGCTACCTTTACGATGTCGTCGGTCCACCTTGTAGGTGGACGTCCCACGCTGCGTTTTCCGGTACGCGGCCTCCATTCCAGAACCTTGCTGCCCCATCGGCCGTCAGTTCTGCGTACTATGTGCCCTGCCCATTGCCACTTCAGCTTGCTAATACGTCGGGCTATGTCAGCGACTTTGGTTCGTTTACGGATCTCCTCATTTCTGATTCGATCTCGCAAAGAAACACCAAGCATAGCCCTCTCCATAGCACGCTGTGCAACTTTGAGCTTCTGTATAAGGCCTATAGTGAGAGGCCACGTTTCCGAGCCATAAGTTATCACTGGTAACACACATTGGTTATACACTCTAGTCTTCAGGCATTGAGGTAATTTGGACGAAAAGATGTTGCGTAGTTTCCCGAACGCTGCCCAGCCGAGTTGGATTCGACGATTGACCTCCTTCTCGAAATTGGACCTACCTAGCTGAATCGTTTGTCCGAGGTAGACATACTTGTCGACAATCTCGAGAATTGAGCTCCCAACTGAAACTGGGTAGGGCGTAACATGGACATTCGACATAAGCTTCGTTTTGTCCATGTTCATCCTCAGGCCTACCTGTTGGGAAACTCGATTAAGGTCTTCGAGCATTGTGCCAAGATCTTCCAACGATTCTGCCATGACCACAATATCGTCGGCAAACCGAAGGTGAGTGATGTACTCGCCATTAATGTTTATGCCGAATCCTTTCCATTCCAGGAGTTTGAAAGCGTCTTCCAATGCAGCGGTGAACAGTTTCGGAGATATAACATCTCCCTGCCTAACGCCTTTAAAAACTCAGACTTTATTTATTAACAAACAAAATTATCTATTCCAGCGAGACCGACGGCGAGGAGCACCTCAGCTTATCGTCGTTTCTGATCGAACGCGCCTGCGGGAACAGCGTCGTCGGCAACTACCTCTATTGGTACCTGCTCATCGAGTGCGAGGACCGGCCCGCGCAGGATCATGCTGTCCGGGCTATGTATCTGAGAGTCATGCGCGCCTTCTCGCACCAGCTGGCTAAAGGTAAGAGAGAAAGAGACGGCATATGCCGCCCGTGACCTACGGTGAAGGTCACGCAAGTTTTCAGGGTACTCGGCTCACGGCGCAGGGCTGACTTTGGCGTGCGAACTATAGACCTGCGCGCGCGCGCCTTCTCTCACCAGCTCGCTATAAGGTACGATTCTCGTCCTTAAGTCCGTAGCGTAAGGCCGACATTAGCGTGCGCACTTGTACCTACGAGTGATGCGCTCTTGCTTCTACCAGCTCGCCAAAGATGCGACTCTCGTCCCTAAGCCCACGGCGTAAGGCCGACAGTAGCGTGCGCGCTATAGTCTATAGACCTGCTCGCTTCTCCCACCAGCTTGCCAAAAGTACAACTCTAGCTCCTAATCCCGCGGCATAAGGTTGACAGTGGCTTGCGCGCAATAGACCTGCGAGCGCGCGCTTTCTCTCACCAGCTCGCTAAGTATGACTCTCGTCCTTAACCCCGTGGCGCAAGGCTGACAGTGGCGTGCCGGCTATCGCGCCTTCTCTCACCAGCTCGTCAAAAGTACGACTCTAGCTCCTAAGCCCGCGGCGTAACGCCGACAATAGCGTGCGCGCTTTGGACTATAGACTTACGCGTCTCTCCCACCACCTCGCTAAGATTACGACTAGCTCCTAAGTCCGCGGCGTAAGGTTGACAGTGGCGTGCGCTAACTCTACTGGTACCTGCTCATCGAGTGCGAGGACCGGCCCGCGCAGGACCATGCTGTGCGGGCTATGTATCTGAGAGTCATGCGCGCCTTCTCGCACCAGCTGGCTAAAGGTAAGAAAGAAAGAGACGGCATGTGCCGTGACTCACGACCACACACGACGCAGGTTTTCAGTGTTGCCGAGTAAGAGCCACAGACCATAATATAATAACAAAGGTACAACTCTCGCCCCTAAGTCTGCGGCGCAAAGCCGACAGTGTATTGTCTCTGTTACTGATTTACTTTACACACAAAAAAATACTCACCTCAACTTTTTCTCCAACAGGCAACGCGGAACTTCAACGCACGCGCAACTTTCTCGCTCGCCAACAGGTGTTCATAGACAAACTCGTCAAGCTAGTCAAGACCGTTACCCGAGAGAGCGGAAACCGCAACAAGAAGGCTGAACGCTTACAGCAACTACTAGCCGACCCTGATGCCTTCAAATTCAACTTCACAAACTTCGAGCCCATGCCCTTTCCCCTAGATCCAAACGTAACCATCAAAGGAATAGTGGCCAAAAAGGCCAGCCTCTTCAAATCTGCACTAATGCCTTCCAAACTCACTTTCCTAACCACCGAGGGCGTCGAATACGAGGCGATATTCAAGCACGGCGATGACCTCCGTCAGGACCAACTTATTCTCCAAATGATCACTCTCATGGACAAATTGTTGAGAAGAGAAAACCTGGACCTAAAACTGACCCCTTACAAAGTCCTGGCGACCAGTTCAAAGCACGGGTTCCTACAGTTCATAGAGTCAATAACTGTGGCCGAGGCATTGGCAACAGAGGGAAGCATACAGAACTTCTTCAGAAAACACAATCCGTGCGAGGGCGCCCCGTACGGGATCAAACCTGAGACCATGGACACATATATTAGGAGCTGCGCGGGATACTGCGTGATCACTTATTTGCTCGGTGAGTTTTTTTAAAACTTGTTTATTGCAGTAGTAAGCTTACATCTTTAATTGCATTGCATGGTGCATTTTTTCAAATCGTTCTTAGATAGGCTAATAACGTTTTCATAAAGTTAGATGCAATTTTCGCCAAAATGGGTCTTTGGCTTTGATTCCCATTCTGCAGCGTAATTTTTAGTGTCTATTTTAGTCAACCACCCACTTGTTTGTCTCATCCATCCTGGTATAGATTGAATTAGCCACAGTTCACACACTAACCACACTTGAAAAAATCCCATCATCCCTTGATTATGATTTCGGGATAAGATGAGAATAAATTGCATTTCCATTGAAATATTTTTATCATTTTTAGTTCAAAAATTTCGACATCGTTAAATAAACTCCACTTTCCTCAATTTCTACACCGTTAAACTCCTCTTTTCTCAATTTCTACACCATATTATAATAAACTCCACGTGTCTCAATTTCTCCAACGCATACCTTTCAGGCGTGGGCGACCGTCACCTTGACAACTTATTACTCACCAAAGCGGGCGCGCTATTCCACATCGACTTCGGTTACATCCTGGGCCGCGATCCCAAGCCTCTCCCGCCTCCCATGAAGCTCAGCAAAGAAATGGTAGAAGCCATGGGCGGCGTCCACTCCGAACATTACCACGAGTTCCGCAAGCAGTGCTATACTGCTTTCCTGCATCTGAGGAGGTAACTCAACTAACAACTAACCCTCTTAAAGTCAATTCAATAGGCTTCAATTGCTATAGTAGTCTGTGGTAGGTAGGATACTCTTGATGTCAATTCTTTTTCAATAGGCACAATAAGAAAAGATGACGTGCTGAGCGAGGATCAGAAAATTATCGCCGCTAAGATGAGCAAGAAACTTTTAACTTGTTGATACACTAGGCATCATTTAGCCATCTGGATACGTTATGGCCTTCCTAATCGAGCTATACTCAATGCGCAAGTTATTCAAATGCTGTCCAGATTGCACTGTGTAAAATGTCCATGGATTTGGGGACAATTTATAGGTCGTTAGTTCAGATCCGGCTCGAAGGACCATTTCGTTTGGGGTATTCTTGGTATTATAGAAAAGAATAGATCGGATTTATTCGTTTTCTGGTAGCTTGAAGAATAATTCGAAAATAAACTTCTGCCTCGCCTTGTCCCGTTACGCGGGGTCGGCTTTTCCAATCATGCGCCGCCATTTGTTTCTATCTTAAACCTTCTTATTCGTGGAATCCCAATACTGTTTCCTTTTGAACATTTGGTGGTTTGAGGTCTTCTTCTTTCTCTTATTTTTTAATAATTCGAAGATAACGCCTAACTTTGTTTTTCCTCGCAGACACGCCAACCTGATGCTAAACCTGTTCTCCCTGATGGTGGACGCGTCGGTGCCTGACATCGCACTGGAGCCCGACAAGGCGGTCAAGAAAGTGCAGGACAAGCTGAGGTAATATCTGACGTCACATGTTCTTTAATCATCATCATCAGGGTCGTCTTTAACCTAAGGGCCCTGGGCATTTATGGATTAAGGGGGGCTCTTATCATCTGGAAACAGGTTTTATTAGCAGATGGGGGGCTTATGCCTGTTTTCACCATCAATGCCTAATTTTTAAGTGACCCCTATGGTAAGATATGACAGGCATTTTGTATTCATAGGGGTCACTTAAAAATTAGGGATTGATGGTGAAAACGGGCATTAGTCGTCAAAATAACGACTTCTCAAAATGCCAACCGGGACGCAAAATGTCCACTTCTCGAAATTACAACTTCTTGAAATGTCAACTTCGCTAAAAGACAACTTCTCATAATAATATTGTCTATTTCGGATATTTCGATTATTTGTGGACACCTTCCTATCACATAAAAAAAAAAGATGGGAGCCCCCTCAGTCGCGGGGCACGTGGGAAAGAGGGGCCTAATCATCATTGTCGTCGGCGTCGTTTCAGTCAAATGACGTCCACTGCTGGACAAATGCCTCCCTCAAGAATTTCCATAACGACCGGTCCTGCACTGCTCGCATCCAGGTACTTTCCTGGCTTTATATCAACATGGGCCTTGTTTAGTTATTTAATTTTTAGCGTTAAGAGTCGCATCTCAAACTTACTTGAAAATTATAAATAACTTGAAAAAAACGAACTGCCTAAGGCGGGAATTGAACCCACGCATATGCCTTAGGCAGTTCGATTTTTTCAAGTTATTTATAATTTTCAAATGGGCCTTGTTGTCTGGCGTAATCTATTGGCGAGCGCGCGAGCATTCGTTTTCTTTTTTCGAGATGGGCTTTCAAAGCTCAAGGCTAATAATAGTAGGGAATTTAGTGCAATGATTTGTATGGAGACCCCTCCACTTTGGTATAGAAGGCTCATTTTTGCACCAGTTGTTCTTTGGGTGCTCCTGAGTAGATTTCCGTCGGTAGACATCGGGAGCCCCCCCTGTGGTAGCAGGGGGAGGGGGGGCAAGTTTCCTTCTGCCGCGCTTCACTTTAAGGCCCATATCTTCAAAACTATGGGTATTAGGGCAAGTGTGGTGTCATTTTCGGATAATTAAAGAATGGCGAATTCATTTCTAGAACAAACTTTTTGCCTTTTCATACAAAAAAATAGAAATATGGAGTAAAATTCACAAAAACCAAAAAGTATTTTTTTAAATAAACGTCGTTTACTTTTAAACCACTGGAGATAATCTAATAAAAAAAATATGTCCTGAAAGCTACATTTATCAGGATTATAAATATATACCATTTTATGGTACTTTTTTTGAAAAAAGTAGGTGAAAAAAAATGTTTCTTCAGGGCACAGCGGGCGAATTTTGATACGCGTCGGAAATAAATATTAATTTTATCCATGAATTCATACTATTTGGTTCATAAGCAAGTAAAGATTATTATTTTAGAATTTATTTAGAGTTCCTGGCACATCATGCTACCATGATTTGTATTTTTTCTTNATCTAACTGCCTAAGGCGGGAATTGAACCCACGATGCCTTAGGCAGTTACATTTTTTCAAGTTATTTATAATTTTCAAATTAGTTTGAGATGCAACTCTTAACGCTAAAAATTAAATAACTACATAATGTGTCATAATTTATAAATAAAACAATTTGCTAAATATTTTCATGGCTTTATTTAAGATTTGGATTATAAAAAATATATATTTATGTAAGCAACTACTCGTATAGATTGACGAATCGTATGATTGGGCTTTATACGTGGCGTAGTTTTGCACATACGCCTATTTGCCTAAAATTTTATTTTGTATCTAATGGAAAAAAAAATTTTTTTTCTTACTGACGTTATAGATTAGAGCAAAATGAAATCATTACTTAAATAATTGGAAAAAGGCGTAAGCGGCAGTTTCGCCTTTATACGTAGGAGCCATCGGTATAGGATCAGTTGCAAGCAACCGACTCAGTCTTCCCTTTATCCGACTGATTGGGTGTGGCCCAGAGTCGATAGCAACATGGAGCCTACATGGACCGATTTGCCCGTAGCTGCCGTAGCTTGCCTGGAAATGGTGAGAAGTAAGTGCAAGAAGTAGTGCAGAAGCTGGTGCTGTCTGAAAAAACAACTATAATATAATGGTCACAGCCGTAGCCTTTGTGTTAAAAATAATCTCCCGTACTATGATAATATCAATCCTCACTTTCCTCACACTTACCTTTCCGTTATCACTGGTACAATAGTATGTAGAAATAAAAATGTATATTAAAATAATAATAATAATCATTAGACGTTTAGACAAATTCAAGTTCTTTATTTAGTGCTTTCTTCTTATGATATTTTCATTAATACAATGTAATTAAACTATTTTGAACCTTATGTCTTACACATAGAGTTCAAAATTAATTGAAGAAAAAATACAAATCATGGTAGAATGATGTGCCAGGAACTCTAAATAAATTCTAAAATAATAATCTTTACTTGATTATGAACCAAATAGTATGAATTCATGGATAAAATTAATATTTATTTCCGACGCGTATCAAAATTCGCCCGCTGTGCCCTGAAGAAACATTTTTTTTCACCTACTTTTTTCAAAAAAAGTACCATAAAATGGTATATATTTATAATCCTGATAAATGTAGCTTTCAGGACATATTTTTTTTATTAGATTATCTCCAGTGGTTTAAAAGTAAACGACGTTTATTTAAAAAAATACTTTTTGGTTTTTGTGAATTTTACTCCATATTTCTATTTTTTTGTATGAAAAGGCAAAAAGTTTGTTCTAGAAATGAATTCGCCATTCTTTAATTATCCGAAAATGACACCACACTTGCCCTAATACCCATAGTTTTGAAGATATGGGCCTTAAAGTGAAGCGCGGCAGAAGGAAACTTGCCCCCCCCTCCCCCTGCTACCACAGGGGGGGCTCCCGATGTCTACCGACGGAAATCTACTCAGGAGCACCCAAAGAACAACTTGTGCAAAAATGAGCCTTCTATACCAAAGTGGAGGGGTTCTTGCACTAAATTCCCTACTATAAAGGATATGTGCGATTTTGGGACAAACATTGTAGTGTGATGTTCTGTTGAATATGCCTTATAAATTTCAAACTGTTGCATTAGTTTGCATCAATATAACACCGTTTGCCGGAAAGATACCTTATTGCCTTACCGCAAATGATTTGTAATTAATTCTGTTGCGTTGCGCTTGATCGCCATAGACTGGCACTAAATGAAAATCCAGCTAACTTAACATCCTATTTTCACTTCCAGACTGGACTTGGGCGACGAAGAAGCTGTGCACTACCTCCAGAACCTGCTAGACATGTCGGTGACGGCTGTCATGGCGGTCCTCGTGGAACAGTTCCACAAATTCGCGCAATACTGGCGCAAGTAACCTCACTAGTAGTCATTTACACTCAACATCAAATAAACCGCACCTTCCGCGACGCGAACTTTAAAGATTTTCTTCTGACACAATCATGGTACCCCAACAATATTGGTGTTATTTGAAAGCCCAATAAATATCTTTAAAGAAAAATACATTTCATTTCTAAATAAATGATTAACATATACCATAAATGTGATTTGAAAATAGACCTCACATTGGGCTCACCTCTGGGATCAATTAGACCAATTTTTATGGTTATAAAACCAAATAAAGATCTCACGTGTCCTCTTTAACAGATGGATAGCGATTGATCCCAACTTAACAGTTTTATAGTCATAAAAAATGGCTATAGCGTAACTACCTATTTTTTGAAGAAGTGACTCTGGATCCTTGTAAAGACACATTTTTGGGGTAAAAACCTTTCCTTTAATGAAATGAAGTTTAGAACCAGGCTTTAAAATGGTACCAATGTTGGTGGGAAGTGGGGATGCATACGTTTGATAAGTGCTTGTCGCGGGAGGTGCGATTTATTTGATGCCGAGTGTAGTTTCAATGGGCAAATTTTGAGTATTCGTGGCGCCATATTTTGTTTTTTACCTAAAATATGACATTTCGTAAAACCCCTTCTTCTTTAGTTTTTAAGACATTGACTGATTTACGGTTACTCCTTTTGAACCGTTATTTTAAGGACGTTGTGATAGTTACAAAATTCTTCGCCTTTTGCCAAAATTTGCCAATGCCCATTGAAGAGATAGTAGCTTCCTCATAAGTTATTATAGCAAAAATGTTTATCATTATAATCAATTGCTTCTGTATACTGAAAACAATCTTTAAATTAATTGGAAATTGCATACAATTTTAATTTCATTCTTCAATTTTAAAAAAATATCAGTAAATCAAATTTTATATTTCTTACCCCCAGAATAAATCAATAGGCATAAATGAGAAGTAAATTTTGTACTGTGATATAATTACGACGTATTTTTAAGACTCCTAAATAAAAGTATTTTTATATGACAAAATTATGTTTTATTTCAAAAGCTCCTTCCAAAATATCATAAGTAATAGCTTATCTAGCGTAATTCATTGCACAAAAGATAAAATGTGACAAATAAATATCAACTTTGTTGAACCTTAAATATGAGTTATTTTATATTACATTTATTTCCTGTCATTATAACTTCAAGTCATACATTTAAAACATAAGTTGAAGTGATAAAGAATTTACAAAATTATCAGCTTTGAACCAACATTGATCATCAAGCATTCAAGTGTTGGCAAACATAAGATCACTGCCACTTGCAACACAATCACTTGCTATGTAAATCTTACTGCCTGTTGTAGTCTGCACCACATCACAGGCAGCAATCTCAGCATAATTCACCCCTCCAATCACATACACAAACACACTCTTGGGCTTCAGAGGAAAAGCATTCCCAAAATTGGGATCAGCTTTCAAAACCTTTGACATACTCTTAGGATCTCTACAACCAAATTCTAAATCTGTATTGACTTTCATGTTTTCCAATTTTTCATTAAGTGTTTCCATGCCTTCTTTCATCCTTGCAGCAATACATCCACCCACTTTGAAGTCTGACAACGCAGACAATTTGGAGATGACTTCTGATAATGATTCAGCGGATAACACAGTATTGCAGAGCACTGCTATTAAAGGAATGTAGCCTCCATTGAACACATAACTAGGAGATGACTTCCCAACCTTATCTGGTTGTGAAGGTAACTGTTTCAATTTATTTGCTGCAGCTTGAAATGCACTCTGCCATCGCGGCAGTCTGTCACTCAAGTTGCCTAAATTGGAAATGTTCAAAGATAATTTTATACTAGAAGGCTGAATCAGTAAGCCAGCATTGACTAGGTTACTAAATACATACAAAAACTTGTAGCCAAAAGCAAGCAAGTATTTGGTCACTAGAGTGTTGTATTCCTCATAAGACAGCCCTTGTGTTAAACTTAACAAACACATTAGACGTAAACTGTTATAAATATGAATATCTGTGCCAAAATTTTCATCAACAAATGTGAAGTTGGACTTCTTATTTCTATTGTTCAACATTTCAGTTTCAGTCAGTTTCAGATTTTCGAATTTATTACTCATTTCAGAGATAATAGTCTCACATGCTAATACATGGTTCACTAGATTCTGTTTGAATAAAGCAACCTGCTGCAGTTTGGTTGCCACATAATGTTTCATTTCTTGAATGCCTAGAGCTTTGATGTCCTCATTCTTCAGCAACTTTGCTTTAGAGCTGAGAACACTTAGAACCTCAGAAAAATGCCTGTGTTTAATCTCTCCATACAGAGTGTCTATAGAGCTATCTAAAGTCATGACAGGGTTTTTATCTGTTGAATTATTTTCTTGGAATCCAAAATCTAGCTTTCCCTTTTTATACTTTGTGTCCTTTACATTCAGATCTAAATGAGCACAGTTAATATTAAATATTTCACTTAGTAATCCACTATAGGTAGCTGGAGTAAGGAGACTTGAAGGGTAATCCTGATTCCTGTCAATCAAAATCACAGCCCCAATTTCATCGGAACTCTCTGAACTTAGAAAGTCTCTTGCATAGGTTTCATTATACACTTCCAACATATCTAAAACACTTGCAGACAATTTCCCAAGTGAAAACATGATTTTAGATTTACCAGTTACATGGAATAAGCTCCACAATGACATGGCTACACTGGAGAGTAGAGCATGGTTCTGTTCTACAAACAATTGTTTGAAAAGAAATGGAAGTTCCAAGCTCAGAAGTTGTTCATCTAATGCCATTAGTTCCCAAGCAAAAGTATGCAGCTTCACAATGCCGTACAAACCCTTACTTTCAAGTATAGAATCATAAGAACATAATACTTTCGGCACTATTATTATGTGGAAGCATCCCAAGTCCGCTAGAGGAGAGTTTTGACTCAGGAGAGATGATATTTGGTCCAATACACACTTGTACTTTTGAGTACAGGCTGGTATGAAGTAAACTCTATTTGTGTTGGCTGTTGTTCCCAGTTGTGGATCCATTTTGTATATTTTATCGATTCCATTTTGCCTGAAAGAATAAAAAACATGAACATACACTATAATACCAACGCAATAAACGGTATGTTTAATGATACGGTAATATTCATAAAATATTTATTTGCCCACCTGAGCCAAGTTACACCACAAATTCGCTCCAAAGGCTTGATAAGAGAAGGATCTATGATAAGGTCTTTCTTATCTCCACACTGGGCAAGAATTCTCTGTAGCTTACATTGAGATATAAGGCTCAAAGAAGCCAACTTCAGAGAAAGTGGTTGATCCATAGTAATCTTGATTTATTGTGTAAATTGATTATTTATTTCAAACACTGTAGAACTCTTTGAACATTATTATAAGTACACATTACAATTTTCCCCTCTGTTTTTAAAGGGATCATTTGAAATCTTTAAAAAATGTGTTTGCAATGCAATGAGAACACAACACAAAATAAGACTTTGACACTGACAGCTATCTGTGACTGACGAGCACTGACCAGTGCTGCCAGTCGGGTCTTGTCAGAAATTACCAGAAATATAAAAAAATGTAACCTTTTTGAATAAAAAGTAACCTTCATACGGGGGGGGGGGGTGCGGAGCGATTGTGTAAGGTTGTTCATGGATGGTTAAATTCGAAATTTTGACCATTCCATGAATACCGAAAATTGACCGGTCGTATAAAACCGTTTCATGGATTTGCGTTTTATTATAAAAAAAAACATTTGCTAAAACTCATTGTCTTTAACAAATAATAAATCAAATTCATGTTTAAATGCAGTTTATGACATAATTTTTAAATTGTCACTATTAATATTTTTACTGTATAACCTGTAAAAGTTAATTCTACAATTTCTGAAAAATCACCTAAAAGAAACCTTTTCATTAGTGTAACCTAAAAGTAACCAATGCAGTTCAAAAGTAACCTAAAAGGTTACAAAAGTAACCTTCTGGCAACACTGGCACTGACAGAAAGATCAGCTGTCAGCTGTGCTTATAGTTCCAAAATATAGATGACCCACGCTGAACTGTCCCACCAAACTCAATGACAGGGGGGCGCTACCATCGTTCAACTATATGGTTTCCAATATTATGGCAAAAATCGGAACTAGCGATCCGGTATTGACGGTGGCGCCCCACTGTCAATGTCATGCATAGGACAGGTCAGTATTTTGGAACTATACTGAACTGTCCTATCGATGACATTGACAGCGGGGCGCCACCGTCAATACCGAATCGCTGGTTCCGATTTTTGCCATGTTTGGAAACCATAAAGTTGAACGATGGTAGCGCCCCCCTGTCATTGAGTTTGGTGGGACAGTTCAGCGTGGGTCATCTATATACCCACAGATATGGATAGATGCAGCATGTGTCAAAAATTGTATGAAGCCGAGCGTGCCACTTTTTAAACGTCATTAGTGTCATTTTAGCGAATTTTAGTGATTGCCGCAACCACAGATATGGATAGATGCAGCAGTGTCAAAAATTGTATGAAGCCGAGCGTGCCACTTTTTAAACGTCATTAGTGTCATTTTAGCGAATTTTAGTGATTGCCGCAACGTAAAAGTAATCGTATCATCGTACTGCATTCGCAAAGTCATCGAAATATATCGTGTGTGTGACTCGATTGGAAAATTAATTAATTCCGATAAAACTGATAAATTCCGATAAAATTGTTAAATACAAAACCAAAAACATCTATATTTACCTTTTTAAAATAAAGCAATTCTTACAATTCGTCAAATCTCGTTATTTTTTTTACCCTACCAGCGTTTCAAGACATAAATTTGTCAAGTGCATGAATACATGGATCAGTGTGTGTCTTATTGTTATGAGTAAGTACGGTTCCTTGGGATCGGTATGAGTGCACCACATACAGGGACCATGGTTTTAACTCTTAAGAGTACATCGCAGGATATGTATTTAAAACAATGCTACTTTATACTTCTTCTACTGCTACTTTATTCTAATTAATTATTTGCTACTTGTGCTGTTAATTACAATTCTCAATCCGTAAATAATATCTTCATTCTACCGTGTTCGTACTACTGTTCTCGTAAAATCATCGTAACCGATTGTTGTAATCGGATTACATGAACATCACTCGACCATGTATGTCCATTTGGACATATCGGAATGGCACGCTTTGACGATCAACTTGCTGTATCTACTCTAATCCATATCTGTGGCCGCAACGTATAAGTAATCGTATCATCGTACTGCATTCGCAAAGTCATCGAAAGATATCGTGTGACTCGATTCGAAAATTAATTAATTCCGATAAAACTGATATTTTGTTAAAGTTATAGCTAGTCAGACTGTGGATTAAAATAATTTTGTCGCGGTAAACGTTATTCTACATTATTAATTTTCTTATTAATTTGCAAATAATATTTTTGTTGTGCCTAATGTTTATGAAAGTAATGATCGTTATTCCATTATGTTAAATAGTACTACTAGTAATTCATACTTAATTCCATACTTTTAAATATCCTAGTAAGTACCTGATTTTATTCTTAACTAGCTTTCCGCCCGCGGCTTCGCCCGCGTGGAATTTTGTCTGTCACAGAAAAACTTTATCGCGCGCGTCCCTGTTTCAAAAATCGGGATAAAAACTATCCTATGTTCTTTCCCGGGACTCAAACTATCTCTATGCCAAATTTCATCAAAATCGGTTGAGAGGTTTAAGCGGGAAAGCGTAACAGACAGACAGACAGACAGACAGAGTTACTTTCGCATTTATAATATTAGTTGGGATAGTACATCGCAGGATATGTATTAAAAACAATGCTACTTTATACTTCTTCTAGTGCTACTTTATTCTAATTTAATTATTTGTTACTTATTCTGTTAATAACAATTCTCAATCCCTTAATAATTACTTCTTTATACCGTGTTCGTACTACTGTCCTCGTAAAATCATCGTAACCGATTGTTGTAATCGGATTACAATTAACAACGTGAACATCACTCGACCATGTATGTCCATTTGGACATATCGGAATGGCACGCTTTGACGAGCAACTTGCTGTATCTACTCTAATCCATATCTGTGTATATACCGGTAGAGAAATCATTCGTTTATTCAATCAATCAATCAATCAATCAATTCATCATGCTTAAATCCATTTAGTAAACTAAGACTAAGCAGATAAATTATTCACATAATTTATAATCACATGGCTTAATCGGAAGAGCCATTAGTCATTCATAACATAGAACAATATTCATAGTTCACATTCATGGTCTCATACATTTTTTGTGGCATGATTAATTTCTTGTATCTTTGGAACTGTCATAATTTCGACAATGTTTTTTATAAGGCATTTAATTTTTGGACTAATTTAGTTTTGCCAAATAATTATGTACTAAAAATATATCTTTGTTTAGTGCACCATGAAATCAAACGTAAAAACATACAAGATTTCAAGAAAAGCTTAATCAAAAATAAAAACTCATAAATTTTAATTTTACATAGTCCTTGACATCTATTTCCGGTCATGCGTCGTAGTGGCGGGCGCCGTAATTTCCTCCCCCTCCGCCCTTCACCGCGGAGATTATCATCCGTCGTCGTGTAGCAAAAATTTAAAGAAATGGCTGCGAGATTAATCAGGAAAATCGTAAGTTTATAATCAATCAGTGTTACACAATACCCGCGTTGTTTCCTTTGCATGCCACTTATTAATTTCGCCCTGATAGTCATTAGAGCTTATTGTTCTGACCATCCAAAAATAGACGTACTATAGTTATGTCGAAGAATTACATAAAAGTGCTTTTGAAGCCTTTTCGTGAGAGTAAAGTAGTAGAAGGTTTGCTGAAGTGGTTCGAGCCTGGCGCGAGTGTTAAAGCCGGAGGGGTACAGGGCGTTAAAAATGAGGTTAACATTATTTTTGTTGGTTTAATTGGTGATGTGGTTTGAGGTTATCTAAGGGGGAGTTTTTTTTGTATTTTGAAGACCCCGGCGGCTCGAAGCGGTGCGGCGCAGTACAGCACGGGCGTGCGGAGGGTGACTCTGATCCCCGGCCATGGCATCGGTCCCGAGATCACCGTCGCGGTGCAGAAAATATTCGAAGCCGCCAAGTGCCCCATCGAATGGGACGAGGTTGACGTGACGGCTGTTAGGGTAAGTCCCTTCGTCATTAGTTACTTTTGTTTACTATTTTATAAACAAGCGACGATACATTAACTTAATATTGCTGCTTGTGATTTATTTATTTGATACACTGCCAAGAAACATTGTTTTTATTGTGGAATTTTAAGTTCCATATGTAACATCAATCTTCTATTGTAGAACTAAATAAATTAGGCAGCGATTCTCCCAGAAACTATTTTATTTAGGGACTACACATGACACTGTTATTATCTAAAATTACCATGCATTATTTGAACAAGCAGATTTATTATCATTCTTTTGTTTATTTTTGCTCATTGAACAATATTACCGTATCTTCATTCTTTATTAACACATCTCTACAATTTTAGGGTCCAGATGGCAAGTTCGGTATCCCCCAGAAGGCTATTGACTCCGTGAATGAAAACAAGATTGGCCTGAAGGGCCCTCTCATGACCCCCGTGGGTAAAGGCTACCGCTCCCTGAACTTGGCCCTACGTAAAGAGTTCGACCTGTACGCCAATGTCAGGCCTTGCAAGAGCTTGGATGGGTAAGTTTACAAATTATTTGTTCGTTCGTTTCAGCTGAAAGACGTCCACTGCTGGACAAAGGCCTCCCCCAAGGATTTCCACAAAGACCACAAAGTATTCATTTATAGTTATTAATTTTTTGTGCTGTGTTATGTTGAGAACTATAACATTTATAGCAGGAGAGTTTTTGCAGACATTCAAATGTTTTTAATTGAGGTGCACTGATGCGGTTAATTATTTTTGTGTGAGTGCAAGAAAAACACATTGATTGGTAAAATAATGTGCACCTCTTGTATAATAGTTGGTTATTATAACTTTAATTGAGAAAGACGTCATATTGTTATAGATAATACCAAAACTTACTGATACATTTACCTGATTTATGATAATGACTGACATAAACATAATCAATATTTTTAGGTAAATTTATCCAAACACTAAACTTAAATAGTGGTACGGATTATGCTTTAATAATAGTTTGATGTCATGAGATAAAATAATATTTAATTGCTTAATTATTAAAACAGTGTTTGACTTATTGAGTTATGTAACCAGTCTGTTCTGGAATACAAAAATGTATTAGTCATTTTTGTGTACGTATACAGGGTGTCCCGTAATGTAACGTCAAGCCGGAACTGGGTGTTGAGGCAAGTTATGCTGGTTATCAGAAAAATATAAAAAAAAATCTATGTGGCATATTTTCAAAATAATGGGCATTTAAAAAAAATCAAAAATTTCTACTCCAGGTGACGGTCTTTTTACTCGTGTTGCCACAAATCTTCACTTTTTCCAAATTTTTTTTTTGTTATGTAACCCTGAATAATGCTTCTCTAAATTGTTATCAAAATTACAAAACCAGCTGCTCCAGCTTGGATAAAAAAAATACATTAATCCCAAAAAAATTTTCAAAATAAAAATTTTGTCTCGTTTAAACTGACTGTACTGAAAAAAAAAAGTACTACGCAAGTGTGGCATGTGACGTCATAATTTGGCGCATTTAGTAAGGATTCCAAAATGGTATAACACTTGGTAAATTCTTGCTGCAATTGTCGACAATTTTTGGTTTTTTGGAAATAATCCCGTTTTTAACTTTATCTACCTTGGTTAAAAATTATTATTCTAATGTGCCCAAAATTCAAGTTTCTGTGACTGACTACCGTACAGTCAGTCACAGAAACTTTTGTCACCATGACAGTAATTAGTAGTTGACATACTGTGACAAAAGTCACCCGTGCGTGCGCGCCGTTACTACCTGCTCTGCCTGCACTTGTACTTGGTAACAGGGATAATAAGGATATGAAGTTTCGGTTATGGATACGGTTACGGATATTAGAATAATATTATACCGGTTTCGGTTACGGTCACGGATATGAAATCATTTCAGATTATCCGAAAGTTTCGGATAATTTCGGTTACGGAATTATTAGAATTTCAAAAATGTAGGTATAATTCAAATAGCAAGATGCTGCGTGACCCACATAGCTACTTTATGTACCAACTAAGACGACACCTATGTATGATAAAGGTTAAACAGGCTGGCATATTAGATGGTGCCAGGGAATGCCAGACAAGTTGGTAACAAATATTAAGATTTAAGGTACAATTCCAAGACGGGCCGCAGACCGCAAACTGCAAAACTCTATGAAATCGGCAGCGCGGCATTGCTGCTGCGGCGTGTATACTGCAGATTTCATAGAGTTTTGCAGTTTGGAATAATTGTACCCTTAGACTCCGCCTTTATCCGAAACTATCCGTAACTTTTGAATCAGTTTCGGTTACGGTTATGGATATTTTTTTATTTCGGATATCCGATAGTTTCGGTTACGGTTACGGATATCCATAACATCCCTGCTTGGTAAGATGGCCCTCTCCGTCCCGCTCATACCTTTTAAAATGGCTTCTCCACCTCACTTAAGCCAGAAACTTGAATTTTGGGCACATTAGAATAATATTTTTAACCAAGGTAGATAAAGTTAAAAACGGGATTATTTCCAAAAAACCAAAAATTGTCGACAATTACAGCAAGAATTTACCAAGTGTTATACCATTTTGGAATCCTTACTAAATGCGCCAAATTATGACGTCACTTGCCACACTCGCGTAGTACATTTTTTTTTCAGTACAGTCAGTTTAAACTAGGCAAAATTTTTATTTTGAAATTTTTTTTGGGAATAATGTATTTTTTTCATCCAAGCTGGAGCAGCTGGTTTTGTAATTTTGATAACAATTTAGAGAAGCATTATTCAGGGTTACATAACAAAAAAAAAATTTGAAAAAAGTGAAGATTTGTGGCAACACGAGTAAAAAGACCGTCACCTGGAGTAGAAATTTTTGATTTTTTTTAAATGCCCATTATTTTGAAAATATGCCACATAGATTTTTTTTTTTATTTTTCTGATAACCAGCATAACTTGCCTCAACACCCAGTTCCGGCTTGACGTTACATTACGGGACACCCTGTATAAACTGTATTGGAATTTGTTTTTTTAGGCAAAATATTCTTACATAACTCATGATAACACAAATTGCTATAAAATATAAATCATTGTTATTGTCATGATAATGAGTGCACAAGTCACGTTACTCATTCATCAATTAAGATTATCATAAATGTACTCAGCTAGACTGCCACATAACGTAATGTTTTGGTTATAAATATTTACGATTTCTTTTATACCTATTGAAATTGATTAAACAGAATTCCAGGGATCCTCTAGGATTTTGTGTAACAATGTAGATAGAGGTCTGTAAAGTTTTGATATACAAAAAATTAAAACAGAAACTTTCTTATGAGTCATGAATCCTTAAGCCAAAAAACCCAGTCATTCATGAATTGATAAAAACTCATAGTACTGTTAGTACAAATTATTATTTGTAAGTTAAACTAGGTGTTATTGCAAGTATTACCCATGTTCAAACATTGAAAACATATGTTCTTATTATGTTGTTATCCTAAAATAACAAGAAATGCTAATCTAAACACTTGTTCTCATTATCATTCAGTTTATTACCATAAAAATATTGGTAGATATTTTCATTAATGTTGAATGAAAAAATACTGACTTATTTATTTATCTTTGCTGTATTTCAAGTAAATATTTGTCACTATCATGGCCCGACAGACTGACCTTCCTTTAATAAGACATTGCCTAGTTTGTGCATAAACTAGAGTCCTTAAGTGTCCATATTATTTGAATCATAAGGTATAGGCTACCATTTTCAATATGCTGATACTGTTCCAAGGTCGCGATCTTGACTGGTTTCAACCTTAAATTACCCGCATTATGCCAGATATCTATTAGTATGATAATAAACTGAATAGAAATAGTACCAGCACTATGTACTGTGGATATAATGAATGCCTATGTATAATTGATGCCAAAATAACCGAACGGTGAAGGGGTCGGACTGGCCGACTCGAGATCCGAGGAACGCGGGTTCGAATCCCGCTGCCGCTCGACTATTGTGGTGAGCCCATTGCACTCGTAACACAAGCATATTTAGCTTACCACGAGGGGCTAACGGGACTATTACTAATTTGTGCAATACAAAATACAAATTACCAATAATATTTTTTTAACCCGGCGAGGATGTGGTACAAAATGTATAAGTCGGGGATGTGGAGGGTCTTTATGACCCTGTATTTGATTTGTAGATTTTTCCCTACTAAGCGGTAATTAAAAAAATATTTATCAAGAAACTTAAGTAATAGTTAGTAGTTAATGTATTTAAATTGAAAAATTCACCAATAGCCTTAAACATGTTTAAATAATAAAGCTATTCTAAAAGTCTAAAAAATAGTGAATATTGCGTTATCTTGTAACAAAAAAGCAATTTCATCATATTTCATAATATTAATTAGTATTTTCTGGTAATTAATATCTTATATCATTAGTTATTCATAATTAGTCTTCTGAGGTACAAATTAGCTCATTCTTAACAAAATAGAGCAATGTGATTTTGGCAAAATTTCGTCATTTTTACGTTTGCACACGTTTATTTTCTTTGACCAGCGACGGTTGACTCACTTGTGGCGTGCAAAGGGGAGCAGAGTCCAATTACTCCAGCTACTGAGACGTTCAACAGCACACGGCTAAGGGATAAATAACTGTACACAAAAATATGAAGCACGGGGTCAAATTGACCCCTCCACATCCTCGCCGGGTTAAAACCCTAATAAAACATAATGATTCTGTGTATGAAATGTCGAATAATTAAACAGTATCATTGTAGAAATGTAGAGCATTAATCAATGTTGTCTACTGCATCTATTTTGGTCTACAAAAATATTTGGAATAAAAAAGTTCAATAATGTTTTTAGCAAAATCATTCAATCTAGTTTCGATGTAGGCTTAAAAGTCTTGTGATAATGAATCAATAAAAGTAGTAAGTAGCACGCTTGCTATTACGATACGTTATCACGGCGCGCTTGAATTGATTTGTGTCACATGATCAAGGTTGTCCAACACGATCATTCTTTATCTTTGTATTGATATCTCTACGTGACATGTGTAGCATTTTAGTGTTAGATATTCTAGAGCTTAGGTCATGACCGATAAAGATATCAGTGGGTCTAGCTCTAGACAAATTGCACTTTAAAATCGCAAACCAGTAGGTACGGCTAGCACGAAAAACTTTCGAGTTTGAATCGTTTGCATATTCGGTAAAATTCGATACTCAACCTTCGAATTAAACGATAACGTGACAATTTTGATTCTCAAAATAAGTTTCGTGCAACCATTTCTCATACTAAGTTCACTTTACGACAAGTTTACAAGGGCTCTGTTGTAGTTTTCGTACTAAATCTTTTGATGGCGATTCGAATACGTAAACGATTCGAACTCGAAAGTTTTTCGTGCTAGCCGTACAGTCGAAGGTGGTCGAAAAGCCCTTTTAGTATGGAGTTTTGATGGATTCGATTTTCGATTTCAACTTTTTGCCACTTGTCTAGGGGGCAGATCTTGACATTGAATATTGAGCATCATCCCTAACTATTACAGGTCAAAATCAGCTGTATAACTAAGTGTCATATTAGCAATTCTTGCTTAACGAAAAAACCCAAAATTCCAATGTCTGATATGATTGATGGAAAAATCATAGTCGTGATAAACTTGTCTGGTTTCGTCATAAATACAATGAATTATTATTATAAGGTATACGATAAGGATACGATTGAATAGTTTATCTAATCTTAAGATATAGGTACGTATGCACGTAAAACACACCTGCTTATAAAAATATTGAAATGGTTAAAAAACAACGAATGCCCTAAAGTTATCAACACTGCTAGACATAGGTATAAAGCACCTGGCATACAGCCGGCGCAAGAATGACGTGACGTACTTATTGTTTTAAGACACAACTTCTCTGAAAAAATCTTGCTGAAGCTGCGAGATCCATTGAAGTACTGGAAAAGCCTGTGTTACTTTTTGCTCCTTTCATTTGCTTTCTTGATCCTAGAGATAACTTTTTTGTATCAGAAATCCCAGATTTTTAGTTCAATCATGGTGGAATTAATTGTATCACAAATTATCATTTTATCTTTATCCCTTTAGACATAGTCATCTTAATCAATCAATAATAATACGTGATTTGTGGAATTTCTTGAAATATAAAATCATGGATTAACTGTAATCTTGGATAAAATGATTGCATTGATTCAATAGAAAAAATGTTGATAAACGAATTATCAAGGTGAATTCAATGCCTTGACTTTGAAATATTGTAGATTTGAGACTTGCACACTCTTTAATAGATGTATTTTATAAAAACTCGCACGAGTCATGAGGACATATTGACATCTCTAACGATTCTGTTTTTCTCAGTAGGATCCCCGCGCCTAGATACTAAGGCTAAGCTCAGATGATCGCGCAGAGAGGTTCTAAATTATTGCATAGAAAGAAGGACCGTTTACATTATGATTACCGTTCGGTACTTTAGACTTAAGGACGAAAATATAAGGCAGGTTTCTAAGGAGGTACCATGTCCATGGGGGCACCATGCCCCCTCCCAAATATACCAAGCAACAAACGTCTAACTCCACTCTTTTACAGCATCAAGACGCTATACGACAACGTGGACGTGGTCACCATCCGAGAGAACACAGAGGGCGAGTATTCCGGCATCGAGCACGAAATCGTGGACGGCGTGGTGCAGTCCATCAAGCTCATCACGGAGGAGGCCAGCAAGCGGGTCGCTGAGTTCGCGTTCCAATTCGCGCGCGATAACAAGAGGAAGAAGGTCACTGCCGTGCACAAGGCTAACATCATGTGAGTACAGCTGTAGTGTGACATCATGGGAGTCCAACATCAGGGTAGTTTGACGAGAGTGGACGGCGTGGTGCAGTCCATCAAGCTCATCACGGAGGAGGCCAGCAAGCGGGTCGCCGAGTTCGCGTTCCAATTCGCGCGCGATAACAAGAGGAAGAAGGTCACTGCTGTGCACAAGGCTAACATCATGTGAGTAGTAGGGTAGTGTGTACTACAGCAGGGCAGTGTGACATCAAGTCAGTACGACAGCAGGGCAGTGTGACATCATGTGAGTCCAAAAGCAGGGCAATGTGACATCATGTGAGTACTACAGCAGGGCAGTGTGACATCATGTGAGTCCAACAGCAGAGCAGTGTGACATCATGTGAGTACAACAGCAGGGCAGTGTGACATCATGTGAGTACAACAGCAGGGCAGTGTGACATCATGTGAGTACAACAGCAGGGCAGTGTGACATCATGTGAGTCCAACAGCAGAGCAGTGTGACATCATGTGAGTACAACAGCAGGGCAGTGTGACATCATGTGAGTCCAACAGCTGGGCAGTGTGACATCATGTGAGTCCAACAGCTGGGCAGTGTGACATCATGTCAGTACAACAGCAGCGTAGTGTGACATCATGTGAGTAGAGTAGTGTGACAGCATGGCATCATATGAGTACAACAGCAGGGCAGTGTGACATCATGCGAGTACAACAGCAGGGTAGTTTGACGAGAGTGGACGGCGTGGTGCAGTCCATCAAGCTCATCACGGAGGAGGCCAGCAAGCGGGTCGCCGAGTTCGCGTTCCAATTCGCGCGCGACAACAAGAGGAAGAAGGTCACTGCTGTGCACAAGGCTAACATCATGTGAGTACAGCTGTAGTGTGACATCATGGGAGTCCAACATCAGGGCAGTGTGACGTAGAGTGGACGGCGTGGTACAGTCCATCAAGCTCATCACGGAGGAGGCCAGCAAGCGGGTCGCCGAGTTCGCGTTCCAGTTCGCGCGCGATAACAAGAGGAAGAAGGTCACCGCTGTGCACAAGGCTAACATCATGTGAGTACAGCTGTAGTGTGACATCATGTGAGTCCAACAGCAGGGCAGTTTGACGAGAGTGGACGGCGTGGTGCAGTCCATCAAGCTCATCACGGAGGAGGCCAGCAAGCGGGTCGCCGAGTTCGCGTTCCAGTTCGCGCGCGATAACAAGAGGAAGAAGGTCACTGCCGTGCACAAGGCTAACATCATGTGAGTACAGCTGTAGTGTGACATCATGGGAGTCCAACATCAGGGCAGTGTGACGTAGAGTGGACGGCGTGGTGCAGTCCATCAAGCTCATCACGGAGGAGGCCAGCAAGCGGGTCGCCGAGTTCGCGTTCCAATGAGGGCTATCGTTTTTATACTTAACAGTTGGCACCCCTGGCGATTGACAGGATCTTACTCTACAGTGGCGCCATCTTGATGAGTGCAAATACGATAGTCCTCCTACCACTTTAGCGCTCACAAGTTGGCGCCACTGTCTTCGCTACTAGCAAGTGACAGGACCTTACTCTACAGTGGCGCTAACTGGTGAGCGCGAAAACGATAGCCCTCATTCGCGCGCGACAACAAGAGGAAGAAGGTCACTGCTGTGCACAAGGCTAACATCATGTGAGTACAATGAGGGTAGCTTTTGAGGGTTATTGTACTTAACACTGGCGAATGTCAATACCTTACTCCACAGCTGCATCATTCTTGTGAGTGCAAATGCTATAATTTCTACCGCTTCAGCGCTCATCAGTTGGCGTCATTGTCTTAGCCACTACAAATGACAGGACTTTACACAATGGCGCCAACTGGTTAGCATTACCTCCTTCGTCTAGGGCCTAGACGAAGTAACATAAGTGCAGTTTTAATTCCGATACCGTTTCGCTCCGGCTTGATTGTTGCTCCGTAAGGCAATTTTGAAATTTAATCTATCACTTATGTAACTTCGTCTAGAGGGGTGAAAGAACAATTTAACGTCACATTTGTGACCAATTTGACGTCAACTGGTCGCTCAACACAACATAAAGTGATAAAGGTATATTAACTAGCTCGTGTCATAGACAAGAAAGTTTCAAATGTTTCAATTACATCTAACTGAATACAACACGGTCAGACTTACGGAAAGTGTAGTTAGTATGTTAACTATTCCCATTAAACAGTCTACTGAAGGATATCGCATGACACTCCATTATTTTAGTTCTAATAGGAGGTGTCAATTACTCTCGTTCTTGTACTATGAGGCTCCACGTGTCACAATGGCAAGCTATTTCAGTCTTTACTACATAAGAAATAACAGTAAATTTTACATACACTGTATTGAAATGTGCCATTGTCAACTAAATCGTCGTACTAATACGTGTGTTCTTATTCATTATGCATGTATTGTTAAAATGGGCCACCAAAAAGGTGAAGCCATTGTTAATGTCTTAATTAGTAAAGCTAACAAAGTTGTTCCTGTATAGGTTTTCGACTTTTTTTATGTAACAAAACAATGTTATTTTATTTAAATGACGTATATCTCTAAAATCGTCAGTGATCATTGTGTGTCACAAATATGCGAACATCAGGCAAACACGTCGAGAAAAGTAGACCTAATCCTGCATTTCATTTTGTCACTGGTAAATTAAATAGTTGCTCCTATACTAAAACTATGGTCCTTATTACGAAAGACAACCCCGATTAAATCTCAGTAAAATATTCTGGTTTGTGTTTGGTTTTTTTTTACTTCAACCAATCGGAAACTTCAATCTATGTAGATCCCTGTCTTAGAGAGAATTTGTTGCACGGGCGTTGTTGCGGTACCGCAGCGACACGTCAGATTATGTAGACCGGTGGTTCCCAAACTTATTTAGTCTACTGCCCACTTTGAGAATAAATTATTTTTTAGCGCCCCCCATTTTTGTAGTCAAGAGTCGAGCTCAGTCGATGTCTAAGAGTCCTCCTAGTAGATGACGCCTCCCAAGCCTCTACACAACGTCCCGATTTTTTTATGGGTCTCTTACCGCCCCCCTTTAAGCCTGCAGCGCCCACAAGGGGGCGTTATCGCCCACTTTGGGAAAGATTGATGTAGACCTACGGAGCGGCACTGCTGCGATACCGCAACACACCGCACCGGGCTTAGACGCTATGTGGTATCTCTCTTAGGCCTCAGCCTCGAATTTAGCGACGGCGGCGGCGGTAGCGGCAGGATCTTATGCGTAAAATCAAATAGACCTGTTCTCGAAAACAGCGGCGCGGGAGCGGGTAACGAGCGGGCAGCGGCGCGGGCAACGGGCGGGCAGCGCACTCCTTCATTTGCCCACAATAAATCGAGCGTTAGGAATAAATTTGAATCGAAATAAAATTGTCGCTGTTGTTTAGACATTTCGTTTGCGAATAAAAACAAATATCTCGACAACACAACCCCGAACACAACACTTCGCCGCTAAAGCGCCGCGCGAGCTGCCCGCTTGTTTCGAGAACGGGTCTGCGTTGCCCGCGCCGCGGCCGCTCCCGCGCCGCTGCCCGCTAAATTTGAGGCTGAGGCCTTAAACTTAGTTTCTCTACAGTAAAGTAATCTGTTGTTCCCAGGCGTATGTCTGACGGTCTGTTCCTACGCTGCTGCCGCGACCTGGCCACCAAGTACCCCGACATCAAGTTCGAGGAGCGCTACCTCGACACCGTCTGCCTCAACATGGTGCAGGACCCCGCCAAGTTTGACGTGCTTGTGAGTGTTACAGTTCATTTATAGTTTAATTTCATTGTCCAGTGATGGTATACGGATCTGAGACGTGGTCGCTTACTATGGGCCTCATTAGAAGGCTCAAGGTCACCCAAAGGGCGATGGAGCGTGCTATGCTCGGAGTTTCCCTGCGTGATCGAATCAGAAATGAGAAGAAATCGAATCAGAGTGACAGACATAGCCCGCAGAATCGCTAAAATCAAGTGGCAGTGGGCGGGGCACATAGCTCGTAGAGCTGACGGCCGCTGGGGCAGGAAAGTTCTTGAGTGGCGACCACGAGCCGGAAGACTTAGCGTAGGCAGGCCTCCCACTAGGTGGACCGACGATCTGGTGAAGGTCGCGGGAGGCGCCTGGATGCGAGCGGCGCAGGACCGGTCTTTGTGGAAATCCTTGGGGGAGGCCTTTGTGCAGCAGTGGACGTCTTTCGGCTGAAACGAATCAGATCATCGTCGTCGTTTGAGACAAATGATGTAACGAGCTACTGCTGGACTAAGGGCTCCCCAGGGACTTCCAGAACCGCTCCTGCGGTGCCCGCAAACTTAATAAAGTCACGTCATTAGAGGTTTTTAAGGCCGGCAATACACGGACCGCTTGAAGCAGTCAGGGTCGACAGCTTACTCGAGCGGTACGTGTATGTGCGTCCATAGAACTCTTCAGTGCACTGTGTATAGCGGGCCTAAGAGTCACTTAAGAGTCACGATTGAGGAACGTTTTGGGAATGGCCCTGAGAGCCTAAAATTCAGTTTCAGTTTTGAAGAAAGTCACTGTCTGCGGAGGCGTAGTTTGATTTTCATTCACCCAAAACGAACTCATAAAAAATGATCCATAATTATATTTGCCAAAGTAATTCAATGTAAACTACGCGATAACTCGCGTGTCGTGTAGGTGGGCCTATTTGCTGATAACTAGAAGAAGCTTGACATAACTTGTGACATAACATACGTATCGCTGTGACGTCGCGGCGTCGAATACGTAACGCGCTAACGCCCCAAAACATTGTTGCAACTGGAACGCTGCCAGTGCTTCGCATTACGCGAATTGATATGAAAATAAAAGTTAGCTATTTTTGAATCAATAGGGATAATGACTGGGTAATGAAATCGAAATTCTATTTAGTCCGTCAGACAGATAATTAGAAAATATTAGACTCATATTTTTTTTTTTTCCATAATCGAATAATTAAAGTATTATATTGAGTTGAAATGTGGCGTGACGTCACTTTTGAGTAAAAATTCTACTCAAGCGTGACGTATCGTGCCATTTCAACTCGATGGAGCACTGTTATTATTTAATTATGAAAGAAAATAAAAAATATGAGTAAAATTTTCTAATTATCTGTCATCTAGCCTATTACATACTTTTATATTTTCTTCAAAATTAATAAATAAAATTTTATAGCCTTTTCTGTACTAAGAACATTCGCGCTACAGAAGATGTATTGAAAAAAAAAAGAAGCATTTTTCTAAATTTTTCTTTCGCTATTTGAGTTTGCATAATATTATCTTACAACTGTTTGTAGCTATAGTACTATAACCTAAAAAAATCCTTGCTTAAAAATATTTTCGATTTCCCCAACCCTATAACCAGCCTGTGTGGTGAGTGTAGAAAAAATCCTCAGTTTGCCTCCGGTAAATTAGAGAAGGTCGTTCTCCTTCAATGGAGCGCACGACGAGAACTGTTGGACCTCAATCGGCAGTTCGACACAGCTTTAGGCTTTTTCGCTTTTCAAGTTTGGCGACCCATGACAGCCCACGCGACCTATCATTGGCCTATGATCGCGCTGGCGATGGCGATCAGCACGCGTTGGTGTGAAGTAAGCATAACTGATCTGACGATGGTACAATTTTCCGTTTCCAGGTGATGCCCAACTTATACGGAGACATCATGTCAGACATGTGCTCGGGCCTGATCGGCGGGCTCGGGCTCACGCCGTCCGGAAATATCGGCAAGAACGGCGCGCTCTTCGAGTCTGTAAGTATACTGGCAAAGGAGATACGAGATAGATATTAGGGCTATAGGGTTACGACGAGGCCGATGTACTGGCTTTGATCTTTGATCACCCAGGTGATCAAAGTAGACGCCAAACTAAAATAATAATTTAACTGGAGTCCACTTTGATCACCCAGGTCATCTTATCCATGGGTGATCAAAGTGGAATAGACGGATTACTAATGTTTGGCCAAAAAACGTTTCTCAAATTATCACATCGCAAACAACGTTTCGCAAATTTTCATTTGGCAAAACAACTTATTGCAAACTTTTAATTCGCAAATGTCGTTTTTGGCATATTATTGTTTGGCTATTCTATATAAACATTTGCCAAGTAAAATTTTGCCAAATGATAATTTAACCAAATGAATTAGTTGCGAAAAGTACAGTTGCTAAAAGTTTATTTGGGAAATGAAACTTTGGCGATAAGTTGTTTGCGAAGTGAAATTTTGCGAAAAGTAATTTGGCCAAACGGAAGGATACCGGAATAGACCAATGTAATAAAGTCATAGGCTGTGAGGAGTGACAGTCGTAACAGATACATTGCGTGATCGTATTGCGGAGCGAAGTAACTTGTCTGACAAATGGTACTACGAGGGGTTGATGATCGCGTAAGGAATATTTTTATTTTTGTTGTAACTTAATGACACTACCAGTGGATGTTTCTATAAAGTATGAGTTACAAAATTTTAGAATTTCCAGGATACAAACAAACTACACTCGAAAAAACTCGCAAAAAAATAAAATAGCTTAGATTTAGGAAGGAGTTAAGGCGCCAATTGGTCAATTTGGAAATCATTTCAGGAGGCCTATGTGTAATATTAACAGTATACGTCTTATTTTAGACGAAAAATTCAATTCGAATAGTAGTTTATTGTATTATTTGTTGTCAGCGCAAAACTATTAGCACAAACATGTTCATAACACTTAACTTTTGTTGATCACAAAAACACATTTCCACTCAGCATAAACTATTGTTTCCAATATACCTACTGCTGACCAATATCCTCCCACGAAAAAAATACTATTCACATGTATGAAGCACTTTTAGGTAATGGAGTTAAAATCGTTTTTTTTTTATTTTCGCCTCTTGAGTGAACATCTTTTGTCAACTAGTGCAAACTGCTCAACAGTGATATGTAAGTCTATTCGAGGATTATTTAAACTAACCCAGGTGTGGATGTTGTGTGTCTAATTTGATCATCGTTATGTCATTAGTATGGAAAACTTACTTCTTTACATAATATGCATGGTGTCACTGAAAAATCTTGTTTGTGGATGTAACCCTCTTTACCTTATACATTATGTATTTAACTTACTATACTTAACCATGAAAATTGATCATTGGAGAGGTTTGGGAAGGTATTTTCCTCAATAGTTAGGACTGTCAGTCATTGAAAGTAATAACATAACAATTTTATAGGTATTTATTTACTCATTAATGTGGAAAAGATGAAAAAAATGTGTGTGTGTAGGTAATGGTATCTAATATATTCCAAAAAACACGGGTGGTTTATAAATTTACTATTTAATTATTTCTGTTTTAATGTTTGTGATTTATACATTTTATGTGTCCTTCCTGTTTTAGCATGTCTCTAAAATGTTAAGACAAGTGCTACCTTCGTTTATCGTGAAATATAATTATTTCATGCAATCGAAGGTGTCACTTTTCTTATAACTTTCCGACATCCTAACAAAATCATTTGCAATTTGAATCGGGTCCTCGATGAATATAAAATAAATGTGTATTTTTGCCAAATTAATAAACTGAAGGTATCTTGTTTAGTCTCTATAATCAGCACTCGTGTGTTATACCAATCAATTTACTGAATGATTTCCAACCTACTTTCTCTATTTGAAAAGACCACATTTTCTCCTTGCTCTTTGCATCTTGATACAATGTGTAATAAGTTTAAAATTATGGTGGAAAATATTTTCCAACTGCCATGAAAACGCGCATATTATTTTGCATGCTTTGCAAGCATTGCGCTAATTATGTACTCATATCATTTATATTTTATTTTCTACTTTTGGCTTATAAAGCCACAATAATATTTTCCCTTCTCTTCTCAGTATTTGTGGATGGTAAAACATATGAGTGTTAATTTAAGAGATATTCAGATCAAGTCATTCCTTATCGCTTAAAAATATCATAACATTTCGAGGACCCGACCCAAATTCCGCACCCAACTAACAGCACGCTTTCCCAGGTGCATGGAACCGCGCCAGCCATCGCCGGCCAGGACAAAGCGAACCCTACCGCGCTTCTACTCTCTGCGGTCATGATGCTCCGTCACATGAGGCTCCTCGACCACGCCGGCAACATTGAGGCTGCCTGCTTCGCCGTCCTCAAAGAGGGAAAAGTCCTCACTGAAGACCTCGGAGGCTCCAGTTCCTGCACGGAGTACACAAATGAGATTATCAAGCATCTACAATAAGGAGTATGAAGTTGTCATCGGGTGTGATAGTCATGCCAAATGTAGGAAAGGTTCAATTTTGATGGCTCAACAGGCTAGTAAGATGAAATATTTAAGATTACTTCAAAATATGGTGGGTAAATAATCACTGCCTTGTATAGATGAATGTAGATATCGATTCTGAAAAATACTCAACGTTTATCTTTGTTCATTCAACTGAAAGTAAACTCTTGCAAATAGTATAATCCTTCATATAGGACCTAAATAACATATTAGTAACCAGTTTGAAATATAATGTCAATTACTATAATTACTTTTTTTTTGTAAATGAATGGAAGGTAAGTTGGCGAGCGATGACAATTTCTTGAGAACAACTCCACTGATGCAACTAGTTAAATTAATAGATCAAATTGTTGACTATGAAGTAACATTTTCGTACCGTAAGCGTTCTTAGATTTAGCCTTATTTATTGTGATGAACGATTCGGATCTGCGCACGAGTGGTAGCCAAAGATGCGGGACATCTATTTAAATGACTAATATTTTATTTAAAAATATTATTTAAACTCGCCGATTGCTGTAGATCATAGATAGATCTGTTAATGTTTCATTTTCATTCTTCAATTTATGTTTTTTTCCGAAACTTTGTATGGACACGCGGAATAAGTGTGCGTCTGTGGTATTATCTATTATTCATTTTTACACTGACTTTTTCTTATGTGGCAAAAAACCACATTATCTTCCATCAGTATTAGCTTTTCGTTTTAATTAGCTTCAGGACAGACGTAAACTTATCATATTTAAAGCATTTATGTTACAACTTTCTTCACTGAAAAAAGTTTAATGAAAAATGCGATAAAAATGGTAATATTTCACAAAAGACATAGTAAAAGACTATTGTGTAATGTGATTGTAGCTTTTAATAACATGCCAAAACAACAAAAGTACATGTAAAGTACAAGTTTTGAGAGAAACATAATATTCTTTGTTGATATTTAATTATCACAAATTTTCAAAAATATTAATTCATCTCTGTCTAGCTAGGTACTTAATTTTACTTCTTTATTAATTGCTTTTTCTTTTTCGCATTTATTTACATTATATTTCGGTATTATAAAATACCATTAGATCATGATTTAGCTTATAGTTTGTTTGTGATGTATTTTTAATTAGGAATTATTTTCATAACACTCAATATTATTTGAATATTTTCAATCATTCCAATTTTCATTTTATTTGAGTATTTTCGTATACGCGTGCTAGTAACTGTTACCAGTATTTACCATTTTTCGTATGTTTAAAACAGCATTTTATTATTATGTACTTTTAATTTAGTTTTGTGTGATAATAAGCTTAGTTCCTCATATTTTGTGATTGTAGTATTTGCTTGATTTTTTGCATTTATCTACCTGAGTATGTTGACGTGGTATTTATTCGTATTATTAAGTATTAATGTGCCCAGATTATTATCTGACAATAAAACGTAATGTAGGAACGCCTTTTATTTTACACAGTCCAAGTACACAGAACGCTGTAGAACACGAATTTTTTATGTTTATTTTATGTAAATAAATAAAGTCCGATTAAATGCATACGAAATTGACGTGGTGTTTTAGTTTTAATCCTACCTATGTATTGAATTTCAGATTATCTCCAACTCGCAAAATAGTACGTACCTCTGGTATAATGGCACTCCTTGAGATCAAGTACGCCCAATACGATACACTTAGCTTTCCCTGCGGCTCGCCCTCATAAAATTAAGTTTGTTACACACTCAGATCGCTATAAATTATAACACTTATAATAGGTTATTGTGATATACCTACTAAAGTTGCATCAAAATCCATTCAGCAAGTAGTTTTTGTATGAAAGAGAAATATAGTTCCAAAATACTGAACTGTCCTATCGATGACATTGACAGCGGGGCGCCACCGTCAATACCGAATCGCTGGTTCCGATTTTTGCCATGTTGGAAACCATAAAGTTGAACGATGGTGGCGCCCCTCTGTCATTGAGTTTGGCGGGACAGTTCAGCGTGGGTCATCTATAATTCCAACTCAGACTTCACATTGATATGTCATAAGAAGGACCGCGCGCGCAAAAAATGATCCACAGCCCTTGACATTGTTTTGTTTTTTTTTTCATGGTCCATTCCATTGTTTGGCGCCTAACGTGGTGCTTTTCTAACTTGCCAAACAAGAAGTTAGGTGAATAGAATATGGTCTACTTTCTAATTTTTGCAAATATTAACATTAACTTATTTCCCAGGTGCACGGTACTGCCCCTGACATCGCCGGCAAGGACATGGCGAACCCCACCGCCCTGCTCCTCTCTGCCATCATGATGCTCAGGCACCTCCAGCTGAACGACCACGCCGACCGCGTCCAGAACGCCTGCTACACAGTCCTCAGGGAGGGAAAGAACCTCACCGGAGACCTCGGAGGCACCGGCAAATGCAGCGAATACACCAACGCCATCATCTCCAAACTCAATTAGGCAGCACAGAAGATGACCTTCGCCTCTGAACCTCGAATATAAAAATAAACAGTATTTTTTTCGAGTGCAACCAGCGATGACATTTAGAAAATGTATTGTGGTCACTCGGACAGTATTGGTATTGTGCATAAAATGCTTGTGATGCCTAGTAAATAAAATTATGTACCAAAGCTATTTGTAATAGATAAGGTACCAAGTACATCTCAATCGGAAATAGTTACCGACTTTGTTTACCATACGACCGGAACCGACTTTCTGATCTTTTTAAATCTGCAATTTTGAGATTATTTTATATTAATCGTTTTGTAAATAAGTACTTCGCATGTATTTATGACCCATGAGGATAGTTTTAGGTAATTCACAACGCAATTAGACCGGTTCCATACTAATTATTAGATTAGATAAAATACCATCAAATACGCTACATAAAAGTTATGTTGATTCTTTTTAATAAAATAATTTATTTATTAAATTGTGTTTTATTTTTACCGTGAATTATAAGGAATCAGAATGCATGCAAACAGAGCTCCAATCATAGCAAGTAGGTACCTATTTGAAAACTGGGCAGTTTAGGGAGGACTAGAATCCTGGTCTTAGGGGAGCGCCCTGTGGCTCCCAAGAATATTGGAAGCTCCTCTTCATAAAGCTGCAGCCAAAAAAAAATATCGCCCTAGTGATGGTTTGCAGCTTATCGAGTTTACAAATCTTACAAATTCCTATTATGCAAGAGAACCGAGTTATCGTATTATTCTTTGCCTTACAGATATAAAGATTCAGGTCGCTGCCATTGAGTTGTCGCTGCTGCCAGAATTTCGCGGGCAGGCGGCATAGCAGCGCGCGTACCACATCTCTTGTCTTATCTCTCTATTCTGATCTAAATTCTGATGATAATTATCTTTGAATGAAGCTATTCATTATTAATAATGAATTATCGAACTTCACTTTGAATTTTATCTTATTCGCAAAAATCAAAGCTGTGATGGCTGTGAACGATGTTAGTGATTTCGGAACGTACCGGAGCTGTCATTGTCACTGTCACTTTGTCTGTCAATAAATAATGTCAACCAGTCAGTGTTGCCAGAAGGTTACTTTTGTAACCTTTTAGGTTACTTTTGAACTGCAGTGGTTACTTTTAGGTTACACTAATGAAAAGGTTACTTTTAGGTGATTTTTCAGAAATTGTAGAATTAACTTTTACAGGTTATTCAGTAAAAAATATTAATAGTGACAATTTAAAAATTATGTCATAAAGTGCATTTAAAAAATTAGTTTTAGCGAATGTTTTTCGATAATAAAATGCAAATCCATGAAACGTTTTTATACTACTGGTCACTTTTCGAATTTAGATGATCAATTGTATTCATTTTCCATCCATGAACAACCTTACACAATCATCGCTCCGCACCNCCGTATGAAGGTTACTTTTTTTATATTTCTGGTAACTTCTGACTAGACCCGACTGGCAACACTGCAACCAGTCCAGTTTCAGTTGTCATTTGCACGTGTGATTTTGTGCATGTTGTTTACAAGTTTCTAACCAAAATTTTATTATAAAACTGTGTAATTCCCTTATAAATGGTGAAAATAATCCACTCCTAAAATGGTCAAAAGAGTAAGTAAAATTAAATAGTACTTTCGTCACAACCATGTATTTATTAGACCGATTGCTAGTCAAATAAAAGTTCGTGGTGGTTTTGAATTAACATCTCAATTAAACTTTTTAGGTCGCTAAAAACTCGGTGTCAGAAGATGATGTCGATTCCCAAGTCCTCAATGAGAATGGGAAACGTGCTGCAAATGTTCCTAACAAGGAACCGAAAAAGCGATTGAAAACTAAAAGTTTGTACCGCCAGCCGACCGCCAACGAGCTGAATCGTCTTCAAGAGACGGAGAATCTATTCAATTCTAACCTGTTTCGCCTACAAGTTGAAGAAATACTCCAGGAAGTCAAAGTGAAGGAGAAAACTGAAAAAAAATTCCAAGAGTGGTACACAGAGTTCAAAAATCATTTATTGGCTATCCCAGAAAATGATACAGAATACGATCTGACAGAGTCGGCACTTGCTAAAACACTAAAAGTCAAAATACCAATAGGCAATAAACTATCCAAAACAAAATGTATGTTCCGGTTTTACAAGTTTAGTGATGTCAAAATTGTTGGGTCTTATGCTATTGGTTGTGCAATAAATTCCAAACTCTGCGTCAATGTACAGATTACAGTCCCAGCTGACACATATACCAAAAATGATTCAATCAACTACAGGTATCACAAAAAGCGGGCAGCATATTTGGCATTCATTGCTTCTCATATCAAAAAACATGAATCCGTTGAAGAAGTAAAATACACATGTTTAAACGGTAGTGAAATTAAGCCAGTGTTAGATGTAACACCATCAGGCAAACTTAACAAATATCTAACTGTACGTATTGACTTGGCATGTGAAGCAGAGGCGTATAAGTTGCACAGATTCAGTCCTGCACGTAACAATTTGAGAAAAGCGTGGTTATTTTCTGAAGAAGGTTCCGATAATAATGAGATTGGTCCTCCAACTCCATACTACAACAGTAGTGTGTTACAAGATCTCACATCTTCCGTCAATGAGGAGTTTTTAAAGGAATCTTTATTGGATAGAGAAAATTTAAAACAAGCGGTGGTTTTGCTTAAGATCTGGTTACGTCAAAGGAACCTGCAGGTGTCAGGACATGTCATCAGTTTATTGGTGTCATACTTGGTGCAGATTAAAAGGATCAATAATATCATGAGCAGCTACCAAATTGTGAGGAATGTGTGGATTGCATTAAGTAAGTAAATGAAATATTTTTTTAAACAAAACTTAATAAATACCATTCAAGTCATATTACTAGCGTAATAAATAATTCTTCATTAAAGATTTTATAACTAACAGACAGATAAAATGTGATTAATTTGTTACAGAATCATCAGAATGGGATGCGAAAGGTATTTCTCTACACAAGGGCGAGGACACACCTTCACTTGAAGAGTTCCACCAACACTTTCCTGTAGTATTTATAGACAAAACAGGATATTACAATATCTGCTGGCAGATGTGCAAGGTAAAAGAATCATTGTTATGATTGTTTATTAATTAGAATACTTTAAGAATAAGAATACTTTATTCAGCATAAAAAAAATACAGTACATAACATTAACCTACAAGCTATGCTGAAAAGGCGTCTGCTGAGCAATATTCACGACATAACAAGCGCCATGTCGAGAAGAATTAATCACCATTACATTATTACCATGGATGTTTTTAAGTGTTTTATATGAAACTTCTTTTCCAGGGCACATACAATGCTCTCCGAAGAGAAAGTGAGCTGGCTGTAGAAATACTAGACAATGGAAAGATCAACAGTTTCCTGCCACTGTTCATGACTCCGGTGAAACCACTACTGCAGTTCGATCATATCTTATTGTGAGTTTACACATATCTGTCAATGAGAACAAAAACCTAATAATTGTGATTCCCATTAATGATTTTCTGTGAAAAGTATCAAATAAACATTATTTTGTCTTTTTTTGCATACCTACTTAATTTTAACTTAAAATTTTGGAGTGCTTTTTCAACAAAAAAACAAATTATTCTAGGTTCAAGGACTTCCAAAAACTCAAAGAGTCTGTTCTCTCTAAACTGCCAAGGCCCGTCCGATTGAACTACGGAGTGGAGGAACTGGCTCTAGTGACAGACTCGTTGCACGCATTACTGGCTAAGGGCTTGGGCCAGAGAGTGAAACTCATCTTGCAAATGGTGGAAGCAGATTTTTCTTGGTCAGTGAAGACCAAACTTGATAAAGCTCGAGAAGAAAGGTAAGAAATAATATTTACACCAATATTATTAAAAATGTGTATTTATTTCCAACCAACACATTACAGTTATGTTGGTACAGAAGAAAATTAATTGTAGTCAACCAGTTTTGTTTAATAAATTATTGTGAAACCTATTTCAAAGTTATGTTATCTTTCAGCTACAAGGAGCAACTATCATTTGGCCTTATATTGGACCCTGAGAACTGTTTGAACATTGTCGAAAAAGGTCCACCAGCTAATCTACCAGAGGCTGAGGTGTTTCGGTAAGTACTCTTCTTCTTCTTTTATTAATGGCAATGAACTTGTGTATTTTCGCCACAAGGCACACTGTTCCGCCAATATCACGTGCGCAGTTCTCTTCAACTTTAACTAGAATCTGCCAACTGTGGCAGCTCGAATTTTAGTATAATTTTTTCAAGGGGTGTTTTCTAAATAACTGACATAATGACTTTTGAGGATGAGAGCCCTTTTTTGCGCTCCCTTACTTTCCGGTGAATGAAGCTGAAAAAGCCATTCACGGCTATCAGTTAGGTCAGTCTGAAAAAAGCCTATCGATTTATTTTGATACCACGTCAATTCAACGTCGTAGCTTCTACCATACTAATATTATAAAGCTGAAGAGTTTGTTTGTTTGTTTACTTGAACGCGCTAATCTCCGGAACTACTGGTCCGATTTGAAAAATTCTTTCAGTGTTAGATAGCCCTTTTATCGAGGAAGGCTATAGCTACAACATCACGATACGATCAATATGAGCAGAGCAATAATGAAAAATGTTGCGAAAACGGGTTTTCACGCGTACGAAGTCGCGGGCACAGCTAGTGCATGTATAAAATCGATATGCTATCAACTAGCGTGTTTCTTCCAGAGCGTTCTGGGGCGCCAAGTCGGAGCTTCGCCGCTTCCAAGACGGCTCCATCACGGAGGCGTGCGTGTGGGACGCCGACTCGCTGGCCGAGCGCCGCGCCGTCACCGCGCAGATTGTTGACTACTTGCTCAACATCAAGTTTGGTAAGACACTTGTCTTTCAGCAAGCGTGTTTCATTCAGAACGTTCTAGGGCGCCAAGTCGGAGCTGCGTCGCTTCTAAGACGGCTCTTATCATGGGACGCCGACTCGCTGGTCGTCATCGCGCAGATCGTCGACTACCTGCTCAATGTCAAGTTCGATAAGACTTGTCTTTCAGCTAGCGTGGTCCGAGCAAAGTGTTCTGGAGCGCCAAGTCAGAGCTATGGCGCTTCCAAGACGGCTCCATCACGGAGGCGTGCGTGATCGCGCAGATTGTTGACTACCTGTTCAACATCAAGTTCGGTAAGACATTAGTCCTTCAGCAAGCGTGTTTCATTCAGAACGTTCTGGGGCGCCAAGTCGGAGCTGCGGCGCTCCCAAGATGGCTTTTATCATTTGACGCGGACTCGCTACGAGTCGACTACCTGCTCAACGTCAAGTTCGGTAAGACTTCTCTTTCAGCAAGCGTGTTTCATTTAGAACGTTCTAGGGCGCCAAGTTGGAGCTGCGGCGCTTCCAAGATGGCTCTTATCATGTGACGCGGACTCGCTACGAGTCGACTACCTGCTCAACATCAAGTTCGGTAAGACACTTGTCTTTCAGCAAGCGTGGTCCAAGCAAAGTGTTCTGGGGCGTCAAGTCAGAGCTATGGCGCTTCCAAGACGGCTCCATCACGAAGGCGTGCGTCACAGCGCAGATTGTTGACTACCTGCTCAACATCAAGTTTGGTAAGACACTTGTCTTTCAGCAAGCGTGATCCAAACAAAGTGTTCTGGGGCGCCAAGTCGGAGCTGCGGCGCTCCCAAGATGACTCTTATCATGTGACGCGGACTCGCTAAGAGACGACTACCTGTTCAACATCAAGTTCGGTAAGACTTGTCTTTCAGCAAGCGTGTTTCATTCAGAACGTTCTGGGGCGCCAAGTCGGAGCTATGGCGCTTCCAAAATGGCTCTTATCATGGGACGCCGACTCGCTGGTCGTCATCGCGCAGATCGTAGACTACCTACTCAACGTCAAGTTCGGTAAGACATTAGTCTTTCCGCAAGCGTGGCCCAAGCATAGTGTTCTAGGGCGCCAAGTCGGAGCTATGGCGCTTCCAAGACGGCTCCATCACGAAGGCGTGCGTCACCGCGCAGATTGTTGACTACCTGCTCAACATCAAGTTTGGTAAGACACTTGTCTTTCAGCAAGCGTGTTTCATTCAGAACGTTCTGGGGCGCCAAGTCGTAGCTATGGCGCTTCCAAAATGGCTCTAATCATGGGACGCCGACTCACTGGTCGTCATTGCTCAGATTGTTGACTACCTGTTCAACATCAAGTTCGGTAAGACACTTGTCTTTCAGCAAGCGTGGTCCAAGCAAAGTGTTCTGGGGCGTCAAGTCAGAGCTATGGCGCTTCCAAGACGGCTCCATCACGAAGGCGTGCGTCACCGCGCAGATTGTTGACTACCTGCTCAGTATCAAGTTCGGTAAGACACTTGTCTTTCAGCAAGCGTGGCCCAAGCATAGTGTTCTAGGGCGCCAAGTCGGAGCTATGGCGCTTCCAAGACGGCTCCATCACGAAGGCGTGCGTCACAGCGCAGATTGTTGACTACCTGATCAACATCAAGTTCGGTAAGACTAGTCTTTCAGCAAGCGTGTTTCATTCAGAACGTTCTGGGGCGCCAAGTCGGAGCTGCGCCGCTTCCAAGACGGCTCCATCACGGAGGCGTGCGTGTGGGACGCCGACTCGCTGGCCGAGCGCCGCGCCGTCACCGCGCAGATTGTTGACTACCTGCTCAACGTCAAGTTCGGTAAGACACTTGTCTTTCAGCAAGCGTAGTCCAAGCAAAGTGTTCTGGAGCGCCAAGTCGGAGCTATGGCGCTTCCAAGACGGCTCCATCACGAAAGCGTGAGTCACCGCGCAAATTTTTGACTACCTGCTCAACGTCAAGTTCGGTAAGACTTGTCTTTCAGCAAGCGTGTTTCATTCAGAACGTTCTGGGGCGCCAAGTCGGAGCTGCGGCGCTCCCAAGATGGCTCTTATCATGTGACGCCGACTCGCTGGTCGTCATTGCGCAGATTGTTGACTACCTGCTCAACGTCAAGTTCGGTAAGACTTGTCTTTCAGCAAGCGTGGTCCAAACAAAGTGTTCTGGGGCGCCAAGTCGGAGCTGTGTCGCTTCCAAAATGGCTCTTATCATGGGACGCGGACTCGCTACGAGTCGACTACCTGATCAACATCAAGTTCGGTAAGACACTTGTCTTTCAGCAAGCGTGTTTCTTCCAGAACGTTCTGGGGCGCCAAGTCGGAACTGCGTCTCTTCCAAGATGGCTTTTATCATTTGACGCGGACTCGCTACGAGTCGACTTCCTGCTCAACATCAAGTTCGGTAAGACACTTGTCTGTCATCAAGCGTGGTCCAAGAAAGAACGTTCTGGGGCGCCAAGTCGGAGCTGCAGCCCTTCCAAGATGGCTCTTATCATGGGACGCGGACTCGCTACGAGTCGACTTCCTGCTCAACATCAAGTTCGGTAAGACACTTGTCTTTCAGCAAGCGTGGTCCAAGCAAAGTGTTCTGGGGCGCCAAGTCGGAGTTGCGTCGCTTCCAAGACGGCTATATCACGGAGGCGTGCGTGTGGGACGCCGACTCGCTGGCCGAGCGCCGCGCCGTCACCGCGCAGATTGTTGACTACCTGCTCAACATCAAGTTCGGTAAGACTTGTCTTTCAGCAAGCGTGGCCCAAGCAAAGTGTTCTGGGGCGCCAAGTCGGATCTGCGTCTCTTTCAAGATGGCTCCCATCATGGGACGCCGACTCGCTGGTCGTCATTGCGCAGATTGTTGACTACCTGCTCAACATTAAGTTCGGTAAGACTTGTCTTTCAGCAAGCGTGTTTCTTCCAGAACGTTCTGGGGCGCCAAGTCGGAGCTGCGGCGCTTCCAAGATGGTTCTTATCGTGGGACGCGGACTCGCTACGAGTCGACTACCTGTTAACATCAAGTTCGGTAAGACACTTGTCTTTCGGCAAGCGTGGTCCAAGCATAGTGTTCTGGGGCGTCAAGTCAGAGCTATGGCGCTTCCAAGACGGCTCCCATCACGGGATGCGGAGTCGCTGGTCGTTATCGCGCAGATCGTAGACTACCTGCTCAACGTCAAGTTCGGTAAGACATTAGTCTTTCAGCAAGCGTGGCCCAAGCATAGTGTTCTGGGGCGCCAAGTCGGAGCTGCGGCGCTCCCAAGATGGCTCTTATCATGGGACGCGGACTCGCTACGAGTCGACTTCCTGCTCAACATCAAGTTCGGTAAGACACTTGTCTTTCAGCAAGCGTGGTCCAAGCAAAGTGTTCTGGGGCGCCAAGTCGGAGCTGCGGCGCTCCCAAGATGGCTCTTATCATGGGACGCCGACTCGCTGGTCGTCATCGCGCAGATTGTTGACTACCTGCTCAACATCAAGTTCGGTAAGACACTTGTCTTTCAGCAAGCGTGTTTCATTCAGAACGTTCTGGGGCGCCAAGTCGGCGCAGATTGTCGACTACCTGCTCAACATAAAGTTCGTCAGTCTAAACATTGTAGTATCTTATCTAGATGTAATAGGAGCTATTTTTCTTGCAACAAAAATGGATAGTACTACTGTCTGTACTTCATCTTCGTATACGTAAGAATGGGTAGCTAAACGATTTCTACAGCTTGTTTATGTTTACACAAGTACAACTGCAGGACGTACAGTAATAAAAACCCAAAGAATTATCACAAAGTTGGCCAACTACTTGCTACGGCTTGACTGCTAATAAAATCCTAAATAATGAACCAAAGTTAAACAGGTAAAGAAAGATTACTCGCTGGACCTGGTAACCAGTTTGTTTTCTTAATTGAGGATTTCTTTACATGCATTTTATTTTTAGTAGAATTTATTTATATTCCTTGCCTCTGGTTATACAGTCACTTGCTTCTGATGGTTAGGGAAAGACGGTCATTCTTCTGTAGTAAATAATGATTAAACTGATAATGATAATCACTTGTACATATTCAACAATTTTCTCTCTCTTTCCAGACATAAAGCCCTCGGACCTATTCCACGTGGGGTCGGCACTAGAGAGCCTGGTGTCCCGCAAGCAGTACAACGCCCAGACCGAAGAGGCTTCAGTGGGCGTGGTCCAAGCGTTAGATGAGTTGAGGCGCGACCTCAGGCAGTTACAGCAACTGCCGCTAGACGTCAGCGCTGTGTATGGTAAGCCACTTATTTATAATTTAACTAGTGACCCACCCTGGCTTCGCACGGGTGCTAAGTATACATATAAATCTTCCCCTTTAATCACTCTATCTATTAAAAAAACCGCATCAAAATCCATTGCGTTGTTTTAAAGATCTAAGCATACATAGGGACAGACAGCGGAAAGCGTCTTCGACTACTATGTAGTGATGCCACTACATGGTACATAAGGCGAACTTAATGCCGTTGGGCGCTCTCTGCCAGTTCACCTTTGGGCTAAACAGAAAAAAAATTGATAGAGATTGCATCGCTGACGATATAGCGACTAAGGCCCAGAACAGACGGTGAAACGCAACTGCAACGAAACTGCAACTGCTAGTTACTTTTGAGTTGCATCTAAGTTTCTGCCATAGCGTCCGTTGAGAGACAACACATGACGCGACCAGTTTGAAACTTTCAGTTTCATTTATGAGAATCATCAGAAAGTTGCAGTTTCGTTGCAGTTGTGTTTCACCGTCTGTTCTGGTCCTTACTATTAAGTATTTTCCTGCTCAGGAAACGTCACGCATGTCAAGTTGTCATGCCTTTTGTCGCTGAACTATAAGCGAGTGTGCTAGAGTGATTGGTGATTCGCACTTTAGAGTAGATAGCGTTTAAAGCGTGAAGCGAACACTTGCAACTTTCTGTTGCAGCAATGAATAACGGTCTTGTTCCCAGCTATGCTTTGTACTTGTGTGGTTAAAGAAGTTTGTCTTAGAATAACCTTAAACCATATGCGCAGGAGTGTCACCGGTATTCAGCTACTGCGAGCCAACGCCCGCACTACCTCGGGCTCCGCTGAACAAACCGTGGCGGCGAGGTAACGCAGCCCTGGTCAAGGAAATTGTCAGAGACGACGGAACTTGGGTCGTGCCGGAATACACGCCTGTATGCAAAGCTGTGATTGAGCTGGGTAAGTCAATAAAGTCAATTTGAACCTAATGGTAAAAGGCTAAAAGTATTTTAGCTCAACGTGGAAAAAAATCCCAAACTTGCTGAGAATACGTCAAAGCAAACTTGCTACCAAGCTGGGTAAATCAATTTACACCTAATCATAATATAGTTCATAAAGTCCTTTTTAGCCAGAATTAGATTTAGCCAGAACAGGCCAGAATCTACAACTTGTCAAATCTAGCGTTCCGTTTTGCCGACTGTCTTTTGTTTATTTGATCCGCGCGGAACAGACTGAAATTCAAAATCGAGAGATCTCAATAATATACTATACCTAAATTCTTTAGAAATTTCCTTAAATGTAAACAAACACTTGAGCACACAATTACACCATAATCACTTACGTGTTCATAATATCATACACATTATTTCACAAGCCCCTGAAACCAACTTTATTCTCAAGATTATACAAGTTTGGAATCAATCTTTAAACAAATTATTTCAGCAAAATATGTGGACGATGAAATCAAATC